TTAACATACATACCTCCACCACTTACCTGTCACAGTTGGATCGTAACTCCAGGCAACAATAGATACTTCCTTTCCTCAGTAGTAACATACATCCCTTCACCACTTCCCTATCACAGTTGGTTCGTAACTCCAGGCAACAATAGATACCTTCCTTTCCTCAGTATTAACATACATACCTCCACCACTTACCTGTCACAGTTGGATCGTAACTCCAGGCAACAATAGATACTTCCTTTCCTCAGTAGTAACATACATACCGCCACCACTTACCTGTCACAGTTGGTTCGTAACTCAACTTAAATGAATTTAATGGAATGATATTATTCATATCATCAAATATTTTACAACAATATCTATAACGAATCGTCAATGACATAAAACAATATACATGAACAAAGCACTTAAAACCAGATATCAAAAGTAGTATTAATGAAATCGGAAAAATAATCGTTACATATTACACCTCTATTTTTTGGCAATACAACAAAAACAGGAGGACTGACCCCATTTTCTTTATCTGTAAATATAACTGGTTTCTCTTTAGCTAACTGTTCGGCATTTATTTCCCGATTAGCATGAGACAACCGTTAGGAGCAAATATTTTCGAGACGATAGGCTTTTCCAGGAATGTCGTTTGCACTGACGACACAGGCACTTCCATATCACATATACAAGGGAATATCTTTGTTTATTTCAATAATAACTAAAACATTAGAATGTAAATATAAAGTTTGACTGTGTTTTTTCAAAGTCTATGCCGGTAGCGATGCAAACCGGTTACAAACATTTTTGCCAGGAATATGTTTGTGACCGATTTGCGTTCGTACCAGCATGAACTTGAAAAACGAAATGCCGTTCAATTCTTTTGTGATCTTCGACATAATTGTATTTTAATCATTTTGAAAACTCACTCTGCGGTACTTTAATTTTGGAGTTGCATTTTCCAAAGACGCTTTTTGTATGAATGTTCTTTAAACATTAGGTAGCTTTTTGTTGTACCTTTTCTATCCTTTGGATAAGATGGTTGCGTCAGATAATTTCGTATGCAGATATATCGCCGATGTGCTGTTTTTAAATAACAAAAAATGTATTGACCACACCTATCGTATATACTCTCCCTCCCGAGCTTGAAATCAAGGACACTGCAGACACTTTTACTTCGGCAGCTTTCCCCGAGCTTTACCTAAAACCTTTCCCTTTCCTGATATTAACATCCCTGCTTCCCCTTCTTACTATGTTTACATATCGCATTTGATAAGATTTTAACAGCTTGCTCCAAGTGATTAAATGATAGATGTCGACTGCTGACGCACACACTGACTAGATAGGGTTTCCAAAGATTCAGGCTGATGAAGGCCTATGGTCGCTATCATAATCTCAGTGTGAAATAAACCATTTCTATGGTGTGATATACTAGACCTATGGTCGATATCATGATCTCAGTGTGAAATAAACCATTTCTACGTGTGATGTGCTTTCTATGGTGTGATATACTAGTGTGATGTGCTTTCTATGGTGTGATATACTAGGCCTATGGTCGCTATCATGATCTCAGTGTGAAATAAATCATTTCTATGGAGTGATATACTAGACCTATGGTCGCTTTCATGATCTCAGTGTGAAATCAACTTTCTATGTGTGATGTGCTTTCTATGTGTGATATACTAGACCTATGGTCGCTATCATAATCTCAGTGTGAAATAAACCATTTCTATGTGTGATATACTAGACCTATGGTCGCTATCATGATCCCAGTGTGAAATAAACCATTTCTATGTGTGATGTGATTTCTATGTGTGATATACTAGACCTATGGTCGCTATCATAATCTCAGTGTGAAATAAACCATTTCTATGTGTGATATACTAGACCTATGGTCGCTATCATGATCTCAGGGTGAAATAAACCATTTCTATGTGTGATGTGCTTTCTATGTGTGATATACTAGAACTATGGTCGCTATCATGATCTCAGTGTGAAGTAAACCATTTCTATGTGTGATGTGCTTTCTATGGTGTGATATACTAGGCCTATGGTCGCTTTCATGATCTCAGTGTGAAATCAACTTTCTATGTGTGATGTGCTTTCTATGTGTGATATACTAGACCTATGGTCGCTATCATAATCTCAGTGTGAAATAAACCATTTCTATGGTGTGATATACTAGACCTATCGTCGCTATCATTATCTCAGTGTGAAATAAATCATTTCTATGTTGTGATATACTAGACCTATGGTCGCTTTCATGATCTCAGTGTGAAATCAACTTTCTATGTGTGATGTGCTTTCTATGTGTGATATACTAGACCGATGGTCGCTATCATGATCTCAGTGTGAAATAAATCATTTCTATGTTGTGATATACTAGACCTATGGTCGCTTTCATGATCTCAGTGTGAAATCAACTTTCTATGTGTGATGTGCTTTCTATGTGTGATATACTAGACCGATGGTCGCTATCATGATCTCAGTGTGAAATAAACAATTTCTATGTGTGATGTGCTTTCTATGGTGTGATATACTAGTGTGATGTGCTTTCTATGGTGTGATATACTAGTGTGATGTGCTTTCTATGGTGTGATATACTAGTGTGATGTGCTTTCTATGGTGTGATATACTAGTGTGATGTGCTTTCTATGGTGTGATATACTAGGCCTATGGTCGCTATCATGATCTCAGTGTGAAATAAGCCATTTCTGTGTGTGATGTGCTTTCTATGGTGTGATATACTAGGCCTATGGTCGCTTTCATGATCTCAGTGTGAAATCAACTTTCTATGTGTGATGTGCTTTCTATGTGTGATATACTAGACCGATGGTCGCTATCATGATCTCAGTGTGAAATAAATCATTTCTATGATGTGATATACTAGGCCTATGGTCGCTTTCATGATCTCAGTGTGAAATCAACTTTCTATGTGTGATGTGCTTTCTATGTGTGATATACTAGACCGATGGTCGCTATCATGATCTCAGTGTGAAATAAACCATTTCTTTGTGTGATGTGCTTTCTATGGTGTGATATACTAGGCCTATGGTCGCTATCATGATCTCAGTGTGAAATAAGCCATTTCTGTGTGTGATGTGCTTTCTATGGTGTGATATACTAGTGTGATGTGCTTTCTATGGTGTGATATACTAGGCCTATGGTCGCTATCATGATCTCAGTGTGAAATAAACAATTTCTATGTGTGATGTGCTTTCTATGGTGTGATATACTAGACCTATGGTCGCTATCATGATCTCAATGTGAAATAAACCATTTCTATGGTGTGATATACTAGACCTATCGTCGCTATCATGATCTCAGTGTGAAATAAATCATTTCTATGGTGTGATATACTAGACCTATGGTCGCTTTCATGATCTCAGTGTGAAATCAACTTTCTATGTGTGATGTGCTTTCTATGTGTGATATACTAGACCTATGGTCGCTATCATAATCTCAGTGTGAAATAAACCATTTTTATGTGTGATGTGCTTTCTATGGTGTGATATACTAGACCTTTGGTCGCTATCATGATCTCAGTGTGAAATATACCATTTCTATGTGTGATGTGTTTTCTATGGTGTGATATACTAGACCTATGATCGCTATCATAATCTCAGTGTGAAATAAACCATTTCTATGTGTGATGTGCTTTCTATGTGTGATATGAAGTAGAAAAGTCTGCAGTGTTCTTGATTTCAAGCTCAGAAGAGTATATACGATAGATGTTGTCAATACATTTCCTGTTATTTAACAACAGCACTTCGGTGATATATCTGAATATGAAATTGAAGAACATATAGTTGAAATTGACCTCATTGTCTCTAATTTTAGTCACACTTCGTTAGTTTATATCTTTCAAATTTTACACTTTGCTATATAAGCATGTGTGTATATTTTATGGTATTAGCACATTAGCCCTAAGTTAGTTAAACAAGTGTTTATTATTTTCATCAATTTAACTCTAAAAGCTACCCGTCTGTGATTACTTATGTGCTGCTTCGCTTCTGTACCTTAATTTGTTTTACTTGTTAAATTGCCCCTGTGGCATTTACTTGTTATTTCTTATTTGTTTCCAATGTTTGTTGCAAGAATAGCACTACGGTACAAATTTACATTGTTATAAATATGTGACGTTAAATAAAATTCTTGTATCTTGATGAGCACGTGCTTTTTGCTTTTGTTGTCACTACTCGAGTTCTCGATGTGAAATTTCTTTGTATTTACAAGGCGGGTATTGTCGATGAAGCAGAGGACGGTTACCCTTCTGGAACACCTGTTCTGACAGTATTTTTCAATGATCTTTATGTACAATTTGTCTTTGTTCAAAGTTTTCCTCACTTTTATCGATTTCAGTTCGAATTATGGTTTTATATTTCTTTTTGTCAATGGAAATACAGAACATTAGTGTATTTCTTTGTGTCAATGGAAATACAGAACAGTAGTGTATTTCTTTTTGTCAATGGAAATACAGAACAGTAGTGAATTTCTTTGCGTCAATGGAAATGCAGAACAGTTGTGTATTTCTTTGTGTCAATGGAAATACAGAACATTAGTGTATTTCTTTGTGTCAATCGAAATACAGAACAGTAGTGTTTTTATTTGTGTCAATGGAAATGAAGAACATTAGCGTATTTATTTGTGTCAATGGAAATACAGAACAGTAGTGTATTTCTTTGTGTCAATCGAAATACAGAACAGTTGTATATTTATTTGTGTCAATGGAAATACAGAACAGTAGTGTATTTATTTGTGTCAATGGAAATACAGAACAGGTGTGTATTTATTTGTGTCAATGGAAATACAGAACAGGTGTGTATTTCTTTGTGTCAATCGAAATACAGAACAGTTGTGTATTTATTTGTGTCAATAGGAAAACAGAACAGTAGTGTATTTCTTTGTGTCAATAGAAAAACAGAACAGTAGTGTATTTCTTTGTGTCAATGGAAATACAGAACAGAAGTGTATTTATTTTCTCTAATTACAAGATGTCGAATTGAAAGAAGACATGCTCAAACAAACTTGTATCATTTTATTGACAAATAAATAAACTTTGCGTAGAAATATATAAGCATACATATATAGACATGGATATCACAACACATTTAAACGAGTGTGTACAACTACAGCCTCTTACTGAAGTTGATGATTAGTGTTATTAAAAAGATACCGAGATGTTTTTGTTGGTAGTATGTTGCTAAATTCAGAACAAGCGAATATAGTTTATGTTTGGTGATTTGTTCTTTAAAATTTGAAAACAGGAAAAAACCCTGCTTGATTAGAATGATCTATATCAAAACCATAATATAAATATAAGTAAGAATCAGTCGTTCAGATGTTTATCTTCTTACTTATTGTTGTACTTAGCACCATTACGCGATATGTCAGATGTTCCCTTTAAACCAATGAAGATTCTGGAAAAGTTTACTCCGATTTACCTCTTGTTTGGCAATGTACATATAATAACTTCAACATAACGAACGTCATATAGCACCAGAATAAAACGATAATTACATTGTCCAGGACTTGCCACAATACACGGAATAACATTTATGTTATATGCCACAAACAACTGTCTCCGATAATAAATAAACTGCATAACAATACATTCCGAGTATTTGATTCAGGAATCCTTGTTTTCATCCTCAAGCTGGCATTGATATTAGTGTATTCAACGAATTTACATCTTTATATTAAGACCAGCTATCGACGACGCTTCGATGTTATAAGAGTGACATTTTGTCACACTCAGTCGACGGAATCGTCGTCTTCTCTTTATAATTCCATCAACAACGGCGTCCGGCTATTTCTAAAGAGTTCGCCTTGTTACCAGGGGAAATAACTCCATTTCACTGTTGTCCATATGCCTTCATGTATCCCGATTTATCAGTTTTGGTGTATTCGGACCTTTGCTGCTTCTTCCTATCAAAGATGGATGCTGGTCTAGCGCCTGAGAGGATACAGAGTAAAACAGAAAAAAAAACAAAAGAATAAAAACATCAGGACAGCATAAAAACAAAACTAACAAAATTTGAAAGGAGGGTATTATTACAGGACATTAACGACGAACCATCTGATTGGCCAACTAGACCAACTTATCCATAATTGGTATTGATGCTGTAGTAATAATAATAGAATTTACATAATTTGATTTTACTGACTTTCCATATTTGTATTCTTCAAAATATTGTAAATAAACTACGGCACTGATTCAAGTTGAAAACCATAACAAAACAAAATATTCCACCTAAGCATTTCTTAGTTTTGTCCATATACAGTGGCTACATAGTTGTCGATGGCAAGTATTCTTGGTATTGAAACAACTACTAACATTCACCTTTAAGACGAAATGAAGTGTTTGTAAAGTCAATACTTGTATGATATCTATTTATATTACCTTGTCACTAATTGTGTTGTATGTCTTTGTCACTAATTAAATTATATCATTGATGCTGAAGACCAAGAAACAGACATGTTATGTTATGCTAATGTAATATATATTTCGTTTGTTGTACACGTTGTAAAGAGCTTATAACTTAAATATGACTGTATTCATTTTAATAAATTGTAATCTGTACTTTTGTTAGGGATGTAAAACAGATATTGATTGCGCGAGCTAACAACGTTACCTGTTGCGGCCGCTTGGGGCAATTCCTTCTCAAGGATTTGATATGTCTTTGGTTGTACATCACGGAAGGCTCCTCCGTCCTCCTCTTCCGGTTCCGGTGGAGGTTGAGGTTTCACCGCCACGCCTCCCCTGTTCCAGTTACAAGAAATAAATATAGTCTAACCACGGATAATAATTTGTGAATTGCTTTGAGAGACCTACAAACTAGGTTGTGATACAGCGGTATATAAGAACCTCGAATTAATATTATTATCATTATTATTCTAACATAAATATAATCTCTTATTTTTACTTTTCATCAAGTCAGTCTCAAAACCTCTAGAAATATTGAAGATAGGTCATTGTTGCCATAGGCTCTACAAAGTAATGACGTAATATTATATAACATTTGATTGTCTGTTGTTATATGTATCCAGTTGTGTCACTTAAGGGATATAATCTTACTATAACTATTTAATATATCAAGTCTAAGAAAATGCCAAGGTAAAAGCATTTTCCACATTTGATTATAATTTCAAAACCTATTTTGAAAGGTTCACTTGCAGAAAAAAATGAAATTGTTTTGGCTGGTATGGAATTATATCGTTTTTTTCATTATTGTTGAACGACTAGAATATGTTTCATTATTCGTGATATATTTTTTAATAGTACCCTTTTATGTCGTTTACGACGAGGAATTCCTTTCAGGATGTATATTCCGAGGAGCATATGATGGAGTATACATTTATGAAACAGTATGTTTAATACGTCACATTCCTTACCTCCGTACGGTGAGATCGATGTCATTTCCGCTGCGGATCATTTCGTCACGAGCATTTTGATGGGTCGACCCAGTGATGTCCATCTTTCCTATAGAAATAATAAGGTCACCGTTCTGTAGCCCAGCCTGACCAGATATGCTTTTGGGATTCACCTACAAGTACAACACACGAAAATAGCATTTAATGTCAGCACACACAGCAGACACCAAAATAGATCGAGAGACATTTAAAAATAAAATCGTGACGCAAAATATGTTTTTTCTTAATGTTTCCTTAGCAGCATGTAGCAACTGTAAGATCCCCTTATACATCAATGAGTCTTACTACAGCCGACTAACGTTAAGTATATACATGTGTATACCTCAAGTACCAATCATCAATTTTATGAGGTATACTATACCCTTATTGTAGTAACTCAAACTGTCAGGGAAGGCACCAAGTTTGGCCTTAATACATCACATGTCGATGTCAATAGATTTTACTAAATGCATCAAATATGGTAATGGCTACCACACATGTGCTTGCGCACACACGTAAAAACCCGAAAGCAGCCATATGCAAATAACACTTTGACCTATGTTGATGACATTGTAAGGCTATTATCAGATGCTCTACAAAAATATTACATATTCGTATGTTCGGCAACCTGTAGAAAGGAATGGTATCATCCGCCCCTTGATAAAACTATTTGCTTGTATACTCTACAAGAATATTGCAGAACCCATAGCGTCTATACAAATATTGATAAAGGTTTAATTTGGCATCCGTCATTTTTCCTCCTGACAATCTTCTATCACAGTTTTGTCGAATAGTGGCACTGTGGGCAATCAAAACATGGTGACGATGTTCACATTTTTACTTTGGATTGAACCTATGACGAGCATTGTATAATCTTCCTTTCTTTCTCGTTTTTTTCCAGTAAAAGTAATGTCTCTTTCGAATTTTACATGACTGCTAACCTTACCTTGTCGAATCCTCAGGCTCCCAGACACACAGTTACTGAGTACTGACGTGAAGGTGGGAGGTTTTAACTGACGGTATGATTCAGCTGACTGGTGATAAAATGTCTATATCTAAACCTGTTATCACCAGGACGTCTGCAATTAATTTTAAGGGGCGCTTTGAGGAATTTGTAGATTTATATTTTATAAATAAAAGCTTATATCTTAATATGACTTGCTATGTATAATAAAAAATGGATATCTCCGAAAAACATTTGTAGATAGATAATCGTAAATTTTCTTTCATGCTGTGTGATGTTACGGTGTTAACACGCTTTCCTTTGTTCGTGTACAGAAACAAACAAAACAGATATTTTAACTTTAAAGTTTAATATTTCAAACCAAGTTTTTACAAAATTTGAGTATTATAAACTGATATATAGTCTGACAAATCTGGTAAATGATGTGTGTTTGAACCATTTCCTCATTAGGGTGATATTTAAGTCGACGTTCTGTACAACCCCAGACAAGCCCCTGGAAGTTTATGATGGAATATTGTTCATCCTCCAACTATTTCCTCAAAAGACGTGTATCAATGCGCACAGGTTGTTTATCTTCAATTTCAGTTTTTAAATTTCTAAAAACTACTCAGCTTAACACATTTATAATTTTATTTCAACGATCTTATATAACATGAATGATAAAAAGTTAAATATTGACCATTGGTTAGGGATTAAAAAGGCATATTTCGATTTGAGACATAGACAACTCTATGTTTTGCTGATATTGTTATGTTAGTCTATACCAGCTTGTGTGTTAAACTGACGTGTGGCTAAAAGGTAACCAGCCTTTACAGATAAGATCTTATGAGGAGATCCAGGGACTTGCTGGTGGAGGTATGGTCCAGGCTTCAGTAAGAGGTTTCATTCCAGACATGGCATGGAGAGAGGTTGTATGAATGGATGGTTTTGAATGGTATGTATAATATTTTTATGCATTACAGCATGAAAAAGGTTTGAACTAGTCTGGTATAACATGTATATTTAATCAACAATGTATGTTTATTATTATTTTTATACGTATTGAAGCAAGAATAGTTTATAAGTAAGATTCATGATATAATGTGCAGGTGTGTACCAGTTTGGTCATGTAATGTTTATTTCATCAACAGTACAGAGTTTGTCAAAGCAAATATATTGCAGGTGACAATCGGTGTTTATGTATACTAAGGGTAGCAAAATAGATAATTAAACATTAAAAGCAGATCAGCAATGAAACACATAAGGATAAATAGTGTAATCGTCTGTGTAGTGTACCGGTGTGACATAACCATTAATTAACAGACGCAGTCGCTAATTACGTTGTTTGTTTCACCTTTCAATGATATGCAGTCACAGATACCTTTTTCATTATAGCTTTGAGAAGCGTATCTTCGAGACAGGCGTATTTAGACCAGTCAAGTTTTTAAAGTTTATTACCTCCCAAGCGATGTCATGTTGACCCCTTAGAAGTGACCATGTTCCATCACAGGTAGGACGAAAAGATTCATTAGTGGTATGGTGTAATATTTCTAACATCAATTATCGTGTCAAATTAACTAGTGGACAATTTCAGAAATAGGCGTTCTTGATTCAATTTTCTTTTGAGAATATTTAAGCACAATAATTTTATGTTAAGTATTTTTATATTGATTACTATTGATTGATAAACAAATATAGAAATGTAGTCGATATTTGGTAGATTTTAAGGAGAACCCCTTAGGAGTTGTACAAGTCCCATTGTAGGCATGACGAGAGTTTTCTGGTTTATGTAATATTTTAACCCCAATCATCGTGTCAAATTAACTTAAGAACAATTTGAGAAATATACGTTCTTAATTTAAGTTTCCTTAAACGTTTGAGAAAATATTAATACATTAATTTCTATGTTAATATTTCTATATTGATTAGTTTTTATTAACTAATATTGACGAATATTAACTCCAATTGGAAGAATAACAATTGTAAAATCCCTTCTGATATCCCAAATGAATCATCTTTTTATAGCATTACCAAACCCTGATGAAGTTTTCATTAAAAAATTAAATAGTATTTTATACGAGTTTGTGTGGAATAGTAAAACAGATCGTGTCAAAAGAGATGTATTAACAAAATGTCCAAACGAGGGGGGGNGGCAAACAGTGCTCTATAAAACCTGGTACTCTAAAGGAATAACACATGTACATAATATGATTAGACATAATGGATCTATTTATTCACATGAAGAGTTTAATACCAGATATGATATCAGGACATTTTTTTTTAACTTATCAGGGATTGGTTGCAGCTATTCGCAAATATGATGATCGACAGGGACTAAATATACATATATATATATAGAGAGAGAGAGTATTTTTACCTTTTGTACCTATAAATTTAAAATTAGTTTTAAAAAGTACAAGAGGAGCACAGGATGTATATCAAGTACTCATTAAAAACAATACTCAACCAGCTGCACAGGTAAAATGTCATCTCTCATTGGGAATAGTTGTGGAAGATTGGAGATTAGTTTACAAATGTCTTTTTGAGACCACTGAAAACTCAAAGCTTTTATGGTTACAATATAGGATAAACCATAGAATTTTGACTACTAATTCATATACACAAAAAGTTGGTTTAACTGAAAATGGAGATTGTACTTTTTGTAAAACAGAAAGAGAAACTATAATACATCTTCTGTGGGAATGTGATAAGACCCAGGAATTACTCCAAAATTTTCAAATATATTTAAATACACAAAATATTGATTTAGTTTTCGAAAAAATTATGTTTCTGTTTGGCAAATATAGAGATAATCAAAAGGCCCATATAGCAGATAATTATTTGCTACTTATAATAAAACAATATATTTACAATTCTAGATGCTTAAAGAAAGATTTACAATTGAATACTTTGAAAACTCACATACAAATGGGAATTAGAATACAAAATCTTATATACCAACAGAAAAATAAATGTGATGAGTTTCAAAGGATATGGGGCAAATGGTCTCTGTTCTTAGAATAGATATATGTGTTTTTTTTCTCTTTTTTCTTTCTGGCCAGCTGCTTTTGCCTTTGCCTAGATTTCCCTCTTTACTTTTTTATGTGTAGGTACGAAAGAATGTTTCTTCACCGCTCGATATATATGTATGCTGCATTATTATGCATACATGTGATGCATTGTACAGTATGTGTATAGGCGTGGATGTGTGTGCAGATGTATGTACATGTATGTATGAATGATGCATGTATGTATATGCAGTGTGTGTGGAGTATGTATGTATGTGTGTTGTGCGTATGTATGTGTATATATGTGTGTATCTTGTGTGTATATGTTGTATGTATATGTGCTTAAGCATACTTTTGAGTATAGGAATGTGGGCCTAATTATGTACTAAGGCTTATATGAATTGAAGGTGAGACGGTGTGGAGACAGGAGCACAGATGTGGATATATGTATGTATTTGATGTGTGTTTGAAATTACTTGTATAATATGTTGATGTATGTCTAATATGTATATGTCTATGAAATGAAAAAAAAAAAATAAAAAAAAATAAAAAAAAAATAAAAAAAATATTGAAATACAGACGATGTTTGCTAAATTCTTAAGAGAAGATATTTATTCACATCGTTTCAGATCAAGTAGTGATTTATCCTTTAATTTAAAATTCATGTGAATATTGAAAAATTATTTGTTCTTGAATATTATTTCTGAGGCCTAGTTGAACCACATTTGTCCAACAGAACGTAAACTAAAAATGCCACCACTGACTTTCAATACAATAACTTTACACTATACATAGACTTTGAAAACAATGATCACGTTAAGGTCGCGATCGTTCACTTCTCTTCTTCCTCATTTGTATTACATAACACTCCACTTCTCACGGAATCAACATGTCGCAGGTAATTTGCTAGCATAGAGTTTATTTTTAGTTTCAGGATGAATGCATCCTGTTGACCAATAAACTATTAACTTGCACTTTACTTTGAAGAAACCGAAGTCTACGCCCGTCATCAATACCTGATACAATGGATTAAGACCTTTTATTAGAAAATAGATTTATAAATGTAATTCAGATTGATAGAACCACTTATAGATTATAACGATTTTGTAAGCATTCTATTTTGTATAAAATAGGAACATCATGAAGTAGTGACTTGTTGAGCGTGTAACCATCCTAGATACTCCAGGCATGTTACGTGTATATGCTTATAGGAGGGCTAGGTTCAACAATTTTCTTTTCTATATATATATACATAGTAGATAATAAATAAATAAGTCCTTGCGAAGGAAAATATAGAATAAAAACAAATTTTTCAGATCGTCCGCTAGGCCTTACAAAATAGTATATACATATATATTGTATTCCTAGATTGTTTAACAGTAATAGTGAAAATTAAATCGAAATTTATGAATACGACATAATTAATATAAATTTTTCAAAGCTTTCATTCACTTGTGAAATATAGATCCAATGACTTTATTCATACGGATTTGATTAGGTGAAATCAATAATGAATCTTCAACATGGCTAAATAATTCAGAAAAAAAGAAATAGTCAGTCAATATTGTTTATTTTGGTATCAAAATAACATCGTACAGTACTACCTACTGCCAGGATTGCTCATATCATAGTTGATCAGGTACTCTCAGGTATATATACCATGTCAAGTCAGGATGGCCGAGCGGTCTAAGGCGCCAGACTCAAGGCACTGCCTTCACACTCTGTGAGACGAGTGTTCTGGTCCACGTATGTGGGCGTGGGTTCGAATCCCACTTCTGACATTTACATTTTTATATCTTTGTTTAAATATTATTAAATTTTGAATAAATCTCATAATGCTTTTTTTTTTTTAATTCCAACATTGTATTGTTGTTTCATAACAAATCATTTCAAATAAATTCGACTGGAGTCGGATTCGTGTAAAGTATGCGGTAGTGATGAATAACCAGTCGACAAAATAAAGTCATTAAGAAGAGATATGTACCGAAATTAACGAAAATAATTTATGATGTAACACTGCTAATTCCTCAAAGTAGTATTTTGTATTCCTAGTTTGTTTAACGGTTGTGAAAATTACCTTGAAATTTATCGATACGACATAACTATAATTAATTTTCAAAATCTTTCCTTCGCTTGTGAAATATAGATCCTTTGACTTTAATCAAACGGATTTTTCTAAATTAGTTGATTAGGTCCAAAAATGATAAATAGTCAGACAATATGGTTTATTTCGGTGTCACAATTGCATCACACAGTATAACCTACAAACACGTTATATTCTATCATAATTAAACAGGTTCCGTCAGGTATATATACTGCTTGTATATCAAGTCAGGATGGCCGAGCGGTCTAAGGCGCCAGACTCAAGGCACTGCCTTCTCACACTGTGAGACGAGTGTTCTGGTCCACGTATGTGGGCGTGGGTTCGAATCCCACTTCTGACACTTATATTTTAATATCTTTGTTTAAATATTAATAAATATTGAATAAATCTCATAATACTTAATGTTTTTTTAATTCCAACATTGTATTGTTGTTTCATAACATATCATTTCAAATAAATTCGACTGGAGTCGGATTCCTGTAAAGTATGCGGTAGTGATGAATAATCAGTCGACAAAATAAAGTCATTAAGAAGAGATATGTACCGAAATTAACGAAAATAATTTATGATGTAACACTGCTAATTCCTCAAAGTAGTATTTTGTATTCCTAGTTTGTTTAACAGTAGTGAAAATTACCTAGAAATTTATGGATACGACATAACTATAATTCATTTTGACTTTAATCATACCGATTTTTTTTAAATAGTTCATTAGGTCCAACAAATGATAAATAGTCAGTCAATATGGTTTATTTCGGTGTCATAATTGCATCACACAGTATCATAATTAAACAGGTTGCGTCAGGTATATATACTGTTTGCATATCAAGTCAGGATGGCCGAGCGGTCTAAGGCGCCAGACTCAAGGCACTGCCTTCTCACACTGTGAGACGAGTGTTCTGGTCCACGTATGTGGGCGTGGGTTCGAATCCCACTTCTGACACTGATATTTTTATATCTTTTTTGAGTAATGATTTAATATTGAATACATTTGGATAAAGCATGACATTATTTAAAATTTTCAACATTTTAATTGCGGTTTCGTGAAATATTATTTCAAATATAGTCGATTTTTATCTGATTATGTACCAGTATTGGTGATAATAATTTATGATGTAACACGTACACTGTTCAATATTCAAAGTAGCTGATCGCCGACAGATATCGATGCCTGCTGATCTGTCTCGATGTTCAACGGGAGATTACTCGAAGATAACCGCATGGTGAGCTATATTAGGCAAAATGTAATCCGATCGGACTAGCGCGTGCAGTGTAGGAAGCGGAACCTTATCTACGGTATGTGTGTAAATGATGATGTAGTAACACACACACACAAGCATGTGCAGGCTACAACACCTTAAGCCTGGTTAGCTTTAGTGGGAACCGTATAGTTATAGCGTTTCATTTGTTCAAACGTTTATATTTAGAGGGTGAAATACAGAGAGTGGACGGTTAAGTACGAGAATACGTATATGATTTACTATACATAGTGACAATTGTGTTGTCTCAGAGATGAAGAAGTTGCTGTAAGCTGTTCAGGCCTATGTGTGCTATCTACAGGTTTGGGAGGTATTTCTATTGCCTTCCAAGCGGAGATATAAACAAGAGGCAATTTGTTTTTCATCTCAATAAAATGCTGCGATAAAACCACAACAACGTCGGTATTAGTAACAGTAGCCAGGACAAAGCACAGCATTTACCAACGTATCGTGTTTTATCTTTTGAATGTTAGCTAAGATACACATTTGTTTACATCAGATGTATACATCTGTTATCATAGATAGAAAAATGTAGTAGACGTGAACACACATTCCACGTGCCTGTGTATATCGCATAGCAATTTGAATATTTAGGGATTTTGTTTTTTCGGTTTTTGGATATAAATAAGGATGTTATACACTTATTCATTGTATACGTTGAAAGATATTTCTGAACCACATTCCAAATCATGAATGATAAGTAGAGTTAATCAGACGTGTTGGTTTGGGATGAAATATACTTTTCTTATGTTATTTTCATTTATTTTCTATCACATATCCATCTTAGAGGTCACCAAGTAATTCTAATGTATAATATAATACATTAGTTATGTTGTTAGGAGTTTCTGAATACCATATGTACATTGATAAAACGATAATTATAATAAAAAACAAACTAATATCAGTTATGCTACTAGCACATGTGTCACATTTAGTACCACAGTCTATCCCAACTAGTTAATGTTTTCTCGATTGATAGGATTGTGAAAAAATTATCAGGTCATTTTTTCTTACGTCATTTTAATCCAATGCCTAGTCGAAACTGAAAAATATAGCAATAATTAAAATAAATCTTCTCCAAATGTCATAGGCTATTATTGTAGACTTGCTACACATATATAACAGAATGCAATTTTAAGGGTGTTTTGAATTTGCATTGTTTTGCAAGACTCTGCTATTAGAATAAAAATGATATAAGAATTGTGAGAAAATGGTGAATATTTCGTTCACAATCTACATAATGTAGCATGATTGATTGAGACTGGCTGCCTAATACAACCTACAAACTCGTATGTGATACTTAAAGTAGCAATGTATTGAAGTGTATAATAGCAATGTATTGAAGTGTATAATAGCAATGTATTGAAGTGTATAATAGCAATGTATTGAAGTGTATAATAGCAATGTATTGAAGTGTATAATAGCAATGTATTGAAGTGTATAATAGCAATGTATTGAAGTGTATAATAGCAATGTATTGAAGTGTATAATAGCAATGTATTGAAGTGTATAATAGCAATGTATTGAAGTGTATAATAGCAATGTATTGAAGTGTATAATAGCAATGTATTGAAGTGTATAATAGCAATGTATTGAAGTGTATAATAGCAATGTATTGAAGTGTATAATAGCAATGTATTGAAGTGTATAATAGCAATGTATTGAAGTGTATAATAGCAATGGAATGTGCAGAATAACATGAACTAGAAAATGAATTAGTAGATAGGGGTTTTACAATATTATTTCACCATCCGTTTTTTATAATATGATTACTAAAACCCTACAAAGTAACAAAATGCGTTTTTCTATCAGTAAAGGTGACAAACGACCATACACACCTGCGCCACGTGGATTGGACAACCTGTGTCTACACCTCCTTGCATCTTGAATCCCCATGGCTGACTTGTATCAAATCTTCTAAGTAAAATCGGAATCGACCCATCCGCCATTTTCCCAAGTATTCTTATGAATCTAGTGATAAAGAAAACGCTGGAATGTAAACAGGGTGTCGAAGATCTCGGCGGCCAGGCTGCTATGTACGGTACATGTACGGCTGTGCTGTGTGTTACAACTATATACCTATAGACGAACAGACATACACACAAGCCTTTGTATGCCCCCGGGCTCGATCACTCAAAGTATTGTCATCTTCATAGCAAATATTTCAAATAATTGTTTGGATGAATTTATCAGCTTTATCTTTATTTTGTACATTATGTCAAATTAAGATTTCTGAAAAGTATTAAGGGAATCAATTTTTAATGTTTTAAGATAAACCTTTATAATTTCTCTGTGTTATCAGAATCATGACGTTAAGCTAGCCAGCGATAAAGTATGAGCCTTACTATTCACGTACTCATTGTATGTCAGAATCCCTGACGTTTCTGCTGTATTCGTCACACATACACCCCTCAATACACTCGATTTCGTCACCAGAGGGCCTTTACATCCGACATAAATAGTAAAGCTTAGCCAGCTTCCAAACATCTCATTTTAAAACCGGTTCATGTCTTTTATATTCAGGTTTAACATTGAAATGCAGATTGTAGAAGTCAACTTAATCAATGGAATGTGATAATTAATTATTGTTTTCTTTGTTGTATTCTATTTTCGTATATGTATTATTGATATGATATCAAATATTAACGTCAAGATGACAAGTATTGTTATTATAACAAGGTGCCCTTTGTTAATGTTATTTACCATCATCGACGGTTAATCATCTTTGGGATTAGGTTGACTATATATATTACATATACTCTATCAACTATCCTGGTATATATTTATACTATAGGAGGGTGTTACATGCCATTCATAATTAATGAATCACTAAGAAAGCATGCCACGTACAATGTGTTGATTGAGCAGGCACGGCTGTGTAACGATGTACTATGCTTTTGTTAATTAAACAATGATTGTTACATTTCCATACATTTCAATAATCTGCAAATAGTAGAAACAGGACGTATCCTTTTAACGTTTGTTGTGATATTTGTTGTGATTTGTTGTAATGCCATACTATAATATTTTTAAATATTTTGTTTTTAGGAATTGGTGTATGGTTGGTTTGTATATTTGATCATGCCTTTTCCCGCAGGAGTAGCATAACAATGATTTATAGATAGAACAACAATACAGCGCGAGAGATCTGGGACTATAAGTTAATGATATGAAAGACATTCCTCATGTGTAATTGTAATACGCAAATGAGAAAATGAGAAAAAGATTCCATCAACAAAATAAAAAAAAACTAAATGAAATTACTAGTCAATATTTCTTTCTTTTAATGCTAAGGCACCAATACTTAAGTAGTCCTAGTAATTGAACAGATGATGAGGAGAATAGTAGAATTGCTTCTATCTAAATTGATGTATTTTTAATGCAATATGTATCATGAATTGCTATTTGCATTCAAGTAACAATGTAACTAAAACGGGCAATAACATATTGAATGAAAATGCAACCGTCTTCGTTATATTTATGATTTTTTTTCGAAAGTTTGGTATTAAGCATTTATAAAAAGATAGAGATATTCCTTTGCCATTTAGAAGATAATCTTTGACTATCTCCAACTACATTTCCTTCATATGTCGACGCCCCTCATCCGTGACGAAACTGTAACAACAATATTCTCGACGCCCATGTAAAAGGCTCCGAGGTTAAGCCGAACATAAAACATTCCCTTTCAAAGTTTACTGAATGTGTATGACGCTTTAGAATTATTTAGTTGAATGATTGCATACATGGATTTATAGATGAATGAATGATTGATTGAAAGCTTGAATGCAAGCGTGTATTTAGATGAAGGCATCGCTGGTTTATTTAGGAAAACACTCCCCGTGTAGTTTCCCGTCCCCCTCTACCAGATATCACGAAAATGTCCTACCTTCTAGTCTGTCCGTTTTTAGTCTCAGCGTATGTAAAATTTAAACATTTAGTTACATTGAATGGTTACTTATAAAAATAATTTTGCATGACGTTTTTGATATGAAATAATGGTTCATGTAAAATAGGTCAGATCCAAGAAAGTTTATCACCAATGATCTCAGTTCACAAGTTTTTAACCAAAGCTGACACAGCGGGAATGTCTGGAGGTATCATAAATCATTGATGAAAATGTTCTTTTTTCCAAAATGACACTCCATGAAAATATTGGATCACTTTTCAGTACTCATTTATGTTAAATCTCTTAAAATGTATTAAATCAAAACGATTGTTCGTGAATGTGTGGCTTTTACCATGACAAATCCAGAGTTTACATATTGCGTATTTCTTTATAGGGTAGTTATTGGATATTTTTATGTGTCGTTGTACTTGCCATAATTTTTGTGACACCTTTAATACCTTGTTCAATTGATGAATACACCACACGAAATTCGTATGCTATAACCTGAAGTACATGTTTGATACCCCGTCATGTGGAGCTACCATAATGTACTTTGTTTGATACCCCGTCATGTGGAGCTTCCATAATGTACTTTGTTTGATACCCCGTCATGTGGAGCTACCATAATGTACTTTGTGTCTCAACTGTGTACAGATGTGTAGTTCATATATGTTTATGATATACAACGTGTTATTAAGAACAAACAAACAATCACCATGAATAATTTATATTTTATAGACATAGAGAAGATAGATTTAATTTTAAATGATATCACAGTCTGACTATCAAACAAGACAATAGATGTTCTCTCCAGAAATTACGTTTATAATAATATAAAAAATAGTACATCTTTAATCAATTACGATAATTTGCATGTATTTCCTGAAAAGGTCACATTTTCAGGAAAATCTTTGAGACAAGATAGACCAACATATTTTAAATATAATGTAAACCACATCTACATTCTTATCTGAATATTCCATATGATAACTGTTAAATATAAATGGAAGAAAACATTCTGACAAAAACCTAAATTATACAAATAATCAAACAAGTATTATGATGACAAATTAAACTATATCAAATAACATTATAATTTTTCAAATGAATGTGTCAAAAATATACATACATGAAGGACATAACAATAAATAAAAAATATGTGCTTTAAAAAATCGAAAATAAACATATCCGGCATAAAAAGCATAATTTCGTCAACAAAGCTAGTTTGAGAAAAGGGACTGAATCTACTACCTACGTACATAAAACAGGGTGAATTGGTGGCGCAGTGGATAACGCACTTGCCTTTCACCAAAGCGGCAAGGGTTCGAGTCACCTGCCCGACCACATGGGCTTTCTCCAGATACTCCCGTTTCCATTCATATTAAGACCCCTTGCGCGCTACTCTCCGGGCCAACAGGAGTGATTAATTTAAGTTTATACAACTTGTTTCACAACAGTTGTAAAGATAAATACAGTTTAATTTAATAAAAAAAAGACTTGACGCCCTATATACGTTTAAATATGAATTATTTGAAATCGACCTGATCGCGCCATCAAAAGCGTAATTTCATGAATGGAAAGTGATATAGCCAGTTTTTCTATCAAAGAAACTGAAATAGGCGCGTCATCAATAGGGCTAAAGACGTATATGGTTTTGATTATTGTAAAATGTCTTGCATATTAAACATAACATTGTATGATCACGTAAAAAGTGAAAACTTCGATAGCTTTTGTATGTTATATTTTGATAACATTAAAAACCAAGACTATGACATAATTTAACTTATCTGAACACCTAGCTAACATCAGTAATAAACAAAGAACTACAGATGTTCTAATAATATTACAAAGCTAATGATCAAATATGATGTTTCATTGGCAAGATATCTATGTTACTGACAAAAATATATTTAATCACCTGTGCAGTAAGTAACCTGGCAAAATACTTAATATAATATATACTGAGTAAATTATATCGAACATACATGTCAAAACGTCAACAAGTCAACGATCTGCATCTAAACATAATATTTGCTCGAAAGGATTAGCACGGTAGAAACAAATCAGACATCAAAACGAAGCGAAGACCCCATTCTAATTTCCTCAAAAATCCAGCGGTTTCTCAGGGAGGGAGATAGTATCAGGCACCGCATGTCGCACCAAAACGTCTCCCGTCAAATCAACGAAAGAATGTCCGTCATCAACGATTAATAACTTAGTGAGCTCGTCTTTGATCAGGGTAGACCCTGGAATCTTAGTGAGCTCGTCTTTGATCAGGATAGACCCTTGGATCTTAGTGATCTCGTCTTTGATCAGGGTAGACCCTGGAATCTTAGTGAGCTCGTCTTTGATCAGGATAGACCATTGGATCTTAGTGAGCTCGTCTTTGATCAGGATAGACCCTGGAATTTTAGTGAGCTCGTCTTTGATCAGGGTAGACCATGGAATCGAAGTGAGCTCGTCTTTGTTCAGGGTAGACCCTGGACTCTTAGAGTTGGAAATCAGGTGGTGATGACCGTAAGATATGACATTTAGATTGAGGATTCTCATGTAGGAAGTCCAGCGTAGTTTATTAGTCAATATCTACATAATACTGGTAATCAAAATAAGGTCAAATAAGGTAAACAATTTTATATCGTATATAAAACTTATTACACGTTTTTTACTCGATTGCATGTATGAGTATTAGCTATTTGTTCCGAAAAGATAAGACCTATTTTGATCCGAGTTAAAAAACAAACTTTAAATGCTAGATGAGAAAGATTAACTTCACTGTTATGTCAAGTTCCACAATTAACAAGATATATCGACATAACTTGACTTTGTCAATAAAATGAAACATCCTGTCAAGCTTAAACGTGCCCTTTAGGACATTCACAACAAGAAAATACACTTTAATAGTGACAGTTGAGAACATATAAAAACATACCAACAAAGCACTAGAATGGACGGGTGTACGTTACAAGGGAGATACTACTGATAAAGGACACATATATCTATTGAATTATCACAGTCAAAAGTGTTCAACAATAAAGCTTAACTGTATTTAACACTGATAAAATAATATACCTTTGTCATGAGCAAAATTCTACAAAGTGCAAAATATACAAAACATATATGAATATACAATTTACAAAAAAGTTATAACTTATCATTAAATCAGTTTCACAGTAATCCATTAAGTCCTAAACTGTGCCCTCGTCTTTCGCATTTTATCATGTTATTGTTTTATGTTTTTAATTTGTATGCTAATATAACAGTTTACTGAGGACGACGATACCTTTCTCCACACTCTAACATATACAGGTGATCTTTCGCCATAGCTGTCATTTTCTATGCCGAATGTTCATTGGTCCCCTTGATGTACACTTTTGTATGCAAAATGCTCATTTCTCGCCATGGTGAACACTTATGTAGGCCAGATATTTATATGTCACGATGGAGGACACTTATTATGCAAAATGTTCATTGGTCGCCATGATGTAATCTTCTGTATGGTGAAAACTCCTTGGTCACCACAGTAAACTGTGTGTTTGTAAGCTTAATGCTTATTGGACAGCGTGTTTGTAAGCTTAATGTTTATTGGACAGCGTGTTTGTAAGCTTAATGCTCATTAGCTGTGATGTATTTCTCTACTTTCCACTGCGCTAAGACGGATTTTTGCCCGCCACACGATATCAGTCGATCTGTCCTTGCGAGGAAACTGAGGGCGGTCACTTCATTCGAATACATCCTAGTCATCTTGAACTCGGGCTGGTGAACACAAAAAAGGTAATCATTTTATTAGTCAAAGTGAGCATTTCTTAACAAATCGATCTGGATTATTTCCTGGTCACAAGTTTACATCGATGCACACTTGAACAAGGACCATAACAAACAGGCAAACAATCAACGAACTGAATTAAACATATTTTTAAACTCAACGACTGATCATATATTTCATGGTCAAACACATTACACTGTGCATCTCCGTTAACATATACGGTGTAGCGTCTTTATTGTAAATGGGTATAGTGTAACCTTATAAATAATATTGGGATAACAATATATATATTATAAATTAAAAAAACTAGCTTACAGATACGAGATAATTTATTGAGCTGAGTTCGATATACCAAAATTTCTCGCTGATACTGATGTGATATGCATCTAGTTTTACACGTGATTTACATACCTTGATACTAGTGCACGGGTACTTGTACAGACGAATCCCTCCCTTGCCGTCCCCAGCGGCGATGGTGGTATTACTACGAGATCTGTCCATCACCCTCACCTCATCCTCGTCCTTTAGATTTGTCCACATTCCTTTTTTTTTTACGTGGGAGACAAATATATCGGTATATCACACAACACTATAAGCACATATTACAGCATTTCACAAACACATATTTTATTAGCAGAGAGAGGACCCACTCCAGAAGTTCACAGAATAAATAACTTAGTTTTAAGTCATACCTAGTTTTACACATATATAGGAAAGTAATTTACCTCCGTAAAATATTCAAATCATGTGATAAGATCAGACATACATATGTAATTGATATCGTATCTTAGTCATGTGATATGAAAAATGTCATCTATTGGTGAGGAAATAATATATTGAAATCTCAAAGATACACATATTCTGTTTTTGATTCTTCCCTAGCCTGTTATGGTCTCCTGTGCCATGTTTTACTGTAATACTAAATTTGCTACGGTTATGGTAACAAGAGGTAATGTATATTTGTCCTTTGAAATTGACTTTGATCCATATCATTTTTTTCATTTTGTTTTCGTTTCCTTAGTGACAGTTCAGGCTTATTGAAATGCTATCCTGCGAGTCCACACTTACCAAACACTGGGTAGCCGACTGTCACGTTCTGTGTTTGCCACTCAGCGTCCCTAAAGGTAATTGCCTTACTGGCGACCATGTCAGTCACGTCCCCTGAGGAGTAAAATAATATTAAATTATGCCGTGATAAATAAATTCCCTATTAAAAATGATATTAGTGTGATCTTCACACATCATGTTTTATCATCAGCATTCTTTTATCTTATATCTCGAATTATACAGAGAAACTGTTGGTGTAACATCAGGGATGGTAGTTTTTATGATTTGTTTTCTATTGCGGAATGATACCATATTGATAAAAGGGCTCTAGGCTTAAGACTATCCCAAACCTTATCAATAATTTGTGCATATATGATTATCTCACATAAATATGTGATACATATTTATATATATAACAACATTGTATTTAAACGGTGGACAAAGACTTGTTTGTAACATATTTTGATGTCATTAGTATTTACTCATCTCCATAACACCTGGAAGGGAAGCTGTCGTGTTAGGAGGGTTAGGAGGGAAGCTGTCGTGTTAGGAGGGAACTGTCATGTAAGGAGGGTTAGGAGGGAAGATGTCGTGTTAGGAGGGTTAGGAGGGAAGATGTCGTGTTAGGAAGGAAGCTGTCATGTTAGTAGGGAAGCTGTCATGTTAGGAGGGTTAGGAGGAAAGCTGTCGAGTTAGGACAGTTGTCTTTATATTGACAACATATGATGCCCTATAAAGACGACACGGTTCATTTATTCAAACGGAAGTTGCATTAAGAAAACAGCCTGTATAATAGCAAATGAATTTGTCGTGTATGGACGACAATGCCTGTCTTTCCTCAGGAAAGGAGATATCTCTATCAATACTGTATACGTACAATGGAAATGGTCGTACTCTGACGACATAGTCTGTATGTTATGGCTATTGGTTGTCCAGTCAACATTGATCACAGGAGCAGGGTTGGCCTGTAAAAACACAACAAAATATTGATAAATCAGGGTAATTCATAATATTGTTCAAACCCTAAAGCCGCTGTTTTACAACAAAAACAGCTACAGACATGAACGTATAGTTAATCAACACATACCGATGTAGTATATTCAACACACAGGTCACAAAGAAAGCAAAAAGCTAAGAAATAAACAAAACGACACCCCACGACAATAAAGACATTCATGTTGCAGTATAACCAGCTGACATCCAGATAAACATTAAATAACACCCCCCAAAAGTTCACAATATAATATATATAGCATCTTACATGAGTATCCATTTCATATGAGATTTATGAAACGAGTCTAAAAAAAAAACAATTTAACGAGCCTCTGGCGAGCAAAAATGAAAAATTCGTGACGAGTTTCATAAATTACATATAAAATGGATACTCATGTAAGATGCTATATATATTATATTTTGAACTTTTGGTGTGTGTTATTTAATGTTTAGCGAGTGTAAGATCCTTTTTATCACATACTCAAGATTTGTGGCATTTATTCGTGTAAATCGCCATGTCTAGCTAATACTAAGCATGCCCAAGGTATTACTTATTTTTAAATTGACAGGCAGTTAATATTTTCCCTCTTTACTATCTTTTTTCTATGGTAATACCAAGCGCGCCCAATTTATACCTTGGCATACTGTGAGCATTTCTCATTGACTAGTACCAAGCGCGTTAGGTCATTCCTAGGCTTATACCAAAATGCACAATCTATTTCTAGGCTAGTACCAAGCGGGTCCGATTAAGTCCATTATTCCGGTAGTTCTTAGACTTATTTTGCCGAAATCATTTACTTTTACATGCCGTTTTAGTGTATGAAGGGTAATACCAGATAACTCAACTTGAGTATACTTTGAGACATGATGTTTCTTAAGTGAAAAATATCGTAAAGTAGAAAGTTGACTCTGAGGATTTCAAATATTTTTGTCAGTTACATAACTCTGACTTTATAGTGGTCAGTGCAGTTTGTGACATTACCTTGAAGATGGTATTGTTTCGGATGGCGATCTTAGCTCCGTCGTTGACATCGTTATAGATGTACACACATCCGTCATGGCAGCCCACTGCCAGCGTGTCTCGTTCTGGAACACACGACAAATTAGGTTTTACATACAGGGTCTATAACAAGTTCCCATTAGATATGATTATTATTAAACCTGTTTTAGAAGGGAATTATAACGATTTTGATTGAATGATCATACGATTCACCACCTTTGTACAATCATACTTTTTTTCATCTACCCATACAAATCTAAATCAATATTTTCAGCATGTTAACGTGAATTTAGAAATAGATTTATTGCCACATCTGACGTTATACTAAGGTCCATGAAACATGTAACATATCGGGAATCGATGTGACGTGTTAAACGTTCTACAATAGCAAGATATAACTATGTTATCATTACTGATTTGCATAAACTTACCAGATGGAGCCGCACACACTCACACACCCGTTAAGTTGTTTGAAATATTACACTTTAATCCTTTGTGATATACCAGGTAACATGTCGATCGTTTGTAATATGCAAGTGTTAGACAGAGGTTAAACTTATATCATTTGTAATGCTGTTTCCGCATACACATTTATTAACTTATTTCACTGCATTATTATGAAGACTTTGTTCTATACTTTTAGAATTCCCATTAATCGAATTTGTTTTTGTAATTACATTTGAGGTCACACGTTGACGTACCTGGTGAAATTTTAACACACTCGATGAGCTCTGGAGTCGATCCAACCTTGATGATTGCAATTTCTTCTTTTAATGACGCGGCGAGAACAATGACGAAACCATCGGCTGTTCCAATAGTCAGATAGCGCCCCTTCCTGTCAATATCTATACAGCTGCATGGTTTCTGAATGCAGAAATTTGTTTGTATCAAAGTCTAACAGATTAACCTCCTTGTAAATTAAAGTGCAAGTATTTGTATTAAATTCTTTTAAACGACACATCTATTGAAATGTTATTCAAGTAGGTGCTTTTCAATCAACATTTTCATAGGTGCTTCATTGTTTGCAATCAACAACAATAATAGAAATAACCAACGATCTTATAGATTTTATAACCTTTGATATGGTGTAACATGAAAGGTACTCGTCAAGCTATTAAGAATCCATTTATTTCTGATAGGGAACCATGATCGTGATTTTAAATTTAACAAGTGAAAAGGTAAACTTTCGCCAATTTGTGTAGCAGATATATAAATAATCAAAACCTTTACATTTTACAAATATATTTTCACAATATAAATGGAACAGATTATCAATACAACATGTACAGATATTAAAGTTTGACTCTACCTCAACATTCCTTGTGTACAGTAGTTTATGTTTGTCGGCTGACCATTTCTTGACCGTCCTGTCCATTGAGGCTGAGAAGAAGGAGTTTTCTCTAGGATGGGACACCACGGATGATACGGTGTCGCAGTGGCCCTGTGGTAGGAGGGTGACAGTTATAGACAATGAAACTTCTATCAAACGTACGTTGTTCTTAGGAATAAGTTTCTGTTTAGTAGCCCTGTGGTAGGGTGCCAGTTATAAACAGTGAAAACTCTATCAAACGTACGTTGTTCTTAGGAATAAGTTTCTGTTTAGTAGCCCTGTGGTAGGGTGCCAGTTATAAACAATGAAAACTCTATCAAACGTACGTTGTTCTTAGAAATAAGTTTCTGAGGAGTGGCCCTGTGGTAGGGTGACAGTTATAGACAATGAAAGCTCTATCAAACGTACATTGCCCTTCAGGAATAAGTTTCTTAGAAATGGCCCTGTGGGAGTGTGCGAGTTATAGACAATGAAAGCTCTATCAAACGTACATTGTTCTAAGGAATAAGATGGATATTATTTTCTGAGGAATGGCAATATGTTCATTTATTCCATTGAAACATGAAGTTCTGATGTTAGAAATCAAATTCAAAGTAGTCTTGCTCAATATTTAAGTGTGTTAGATACGGCTCGAAATGAAATTAAAAGAGAACAAAACAAAACAAAACCCCCACAAAAACAAAGAACACAAAATAAAAAACTGTAATTATGAACTCACCTCTATGTGTTTTTTTAGCTTGTCTTCAAATGATCCCTCTAGTAAACATGAGTTGGTAGTACCGATATAGAACACAGGCTTGCCTCCCTCTGGCATAGACTTGTCTTTCAAAACAATGGACGCCACGTCCCCGACACCATCAGCTAGCTGTAAATAACCATCAGATTACCATATGAAATTCAGTCAGGAATTAACATTTTATGTTAGTTTGACTTTTAACTTCGTTACTATACTTACAAAGTATTACAGAAAGGAACAAGTGCCTTCCAAAGTGACATATACCAGTTGTTGTTGTTTTTAAATAGTACTGCGACATTTTGCCCAAAACGTTGGAAAATCTTTATTTTCGGTCGCAAAACCATCAACATAACGTTTTCAACACATTTGAAACACTATCATATGACATTTGGAAAGATATTAGCAAATCCTTTCCAGAAGATAAGACACTTTATACTCCTTAGTCCTTAATCACTTGGAAGAGATATGCATCACTAGCATTTCAATGAGCAAGAAGAATCAAAACATCAATCGTGAAGCGAGACACAATATGCCTAAAACTGCAGAGGACACATTCTCGCTAAAACTACAGGGGTAACAGTATCTCCAAGCCATTTGTTGACGGCTATCTCTACAATACACGTTCTCTCTAAATATTCAGGGGTAACGACATCCCTTGATCTACTGCAGATGATTATCTCTGAACCTGCAAAAGATACATTCTCACTTTAAATATGTAGGGGTAACATTATTAGCATGATTATTTTTTTGGGATAAAATGAACGAGCAGTTTGGTGCCCAATAAAAAGAAGAAATGAAGATCACTTAAAAGTGACGATTGGGTAATCAATTGGGGCTTATAGAAACCTGTACACCGTATGAATCGTGGCCTTACCATTCGATCTTGTACCCAGGATATACGACATACCAACTGTTTTTGTATAGATGACTTACCAGCCGTTCTCGGGTCTTCCTGTAATGGTTGTTGTTAGTGTTCCAAGCCTTGAATTCTTTGCCTCCCCCAGAAATCAGAGTAGAGTCGGGCAACAGACACAGACTGTTCACAGCTCTCTAAAAAACATAAACAATCCGCATTTCTGTCACCTGTTTACTGGATAACAAAGGCTATAGTGATTGTGCTTGGTGTCTTTAGAAACCGTTAAAAGTTAAAAGTACATGTTGGATTCAATTATCAAAACTGAAATTAATTATCAACAAAATATATATTCACTTGAGCTATGATTAACAACATGTGAATTATAATTCTTGAAAATGACAATTTGCGAGTTCGTGGTTACATGAAGCATGTCGTGGAATAAAGATCTGAACCTAATTAACCATGAGAAATACCTGATTTGTAAAGTACTTTTACAGGTTTAACTAGGTCTATTAAATATATAAACATACATCAAAGCTAGGTTTAATTAATGTCCTTTAAATCAACAAGAAAATCCCAAAGTGTCAACTATACCGTAATTCGAATTCAAACTTGATAAAACTAGTGCAAATATGAACAAAGGAAAGATTCATATGGAGACCATTGAAAAGACCGAGTGTTCCAGTGGGGTAAGCGTCTTCTGCTTCTTCGACGTCACCCATCATGTAATATTACATGTAAGTAGAATAGAATTTATGTGTGAATGGGGGTACTAACAATGTAACCAAAAGATATACGAATAAGCATAATACTAAACATCGAACCCCTTGTAGTACAAGGAAACGAGACATATTTGATAATGAATTCATGACGATGCTTCCGCTAGATCCGAAAATAACCGTCAGCATAACACAAATAGGTTTAATTAATGTCATTTATCTACCACCTACTTCACTTTTTATGTTTAAGACGGTATTGAAACTGCCGCAATCATCACTCAACTTTGTTTTTCAATGTACTTTAACCACCAATTGTATCATATAACTAGACTGTTCATGATAACGCAAGTTCTGTAACAGAACAAACACTCACGTGATGGCGGTCCGGAAGTACTGTAAGGAACCGGAAGACCAGAGTTGCGCGATCAACTGCCCACACAATGACGGATCCCGTGGTATCTCCTGTCACCACGTCGCCGTTTGGAGGAAAGGCAATGGACGTTATCTCGCGAGAGTCTTCAGTCTAAAAGAAGGGTTCGGAATTACAAATGCTAGGAAACGGAACAAAGTGGTATTTAAAATTTCGATTACAAACTCAGATGAAAAATTCTCAAAACGTAAGTTCATTCTAACTGAACGATCCCACTGATAAAAATACAGACAAATGAATCAACAACACTTTTGCTTTATATTATAAAATCACTCATCTTACAAAATCCAAAAAAATAATGCTTATCTACCAAAGAAAGGTGAACAAAGGCCACACACATGTGATAGCACCTTTAGATTTAATCAGCCAGAAAATTACACTGTACCAGCTGTTTCGTCCTAGGACTCATTGGTGATGTTAGGGACCAAAGAGTTCGAAATCTTAATGGGTCTAATCTTCTGTTGGAACGTACTATAATTATATGAATTTCAAAACTTGGAGGAGTATTTGTTAATTTAAAAAGGAGTAAAGTGTGAAAACTATGAACAGTGCCACTAATCAAATGGTATCACATACTTAATGTGAGTGGTTATACTAGCAGACTCCTATTATGAGGACTAAGATGTTTTTGTTCTTGAGCAGATGTGTTAATCTACATAACACGCCACTTTCCTTGTTCTGTACTTACCACGAAGGTACCGCTATCCTTGTCCCGGAGCAGACGACCATCAGTATCGCGAACTGGGTCCCAAAACAGTTTCCAAAAATAGAGATGTTGATCACCATAGGTGATGAGAATTGTGTCGTCAAACGGGTAGAAGCACGCATGCGATACATATCTTGATGTTGTCTGTAATGGAGGTGGGAGCATGCGTTACATTATTTATATGTCAATATGATAATTCGGTATAACGTTAGATTATGCTTAAATATATATATATATATATATATATATATACATCTGTTATCATTTTGTGAATAAAGCAAAAACCGACACGAAACGTTGATTAAATTGGCAACTGTCCAAATTAAAACCATTTACACCAGAATACTACGAGTTTATTCTATATTAATCTACAACTAACATTATGTGCTTTTGTTTTTATAATTCCTCTTTGGTTAAGCGGTACATACAATAAAGAGTGCCCGAGGCAAAACATCCAGTCGCAGTACCGGGAAAAAATAAACAAAAAACCCAGGCATATACTGCACCCTAAATAGAATAGTATGTTTACTTTCTCAACCATTCAGAAACAGTTTATCGTCATGACAGCGCACAAGGACGAACTCAGTCCTCAAAACGGATAAGATCGAGAATCAATACGAACAAAAGGAAAGTCTACATGATCCCCACAGAACCTAGCGGCAAAATCAATGCTCCAAATGCTTTGTCTAATAGTGTGAGGGCTTGTATGTTACTATCAAGAAAAGGAAAGCTAAAGAAATGAAACCATCACGTTGGTTTTGAATTATAATAGTGAAATGACAATTATTTTCATTCTTTAGGTAAGGTCCATGTACGAAGCTGATTATAGTTTTGTAGTATCACTAAATATAAATTTTGAATTAATGGTTACAACATAAACTATCACTGCTCAATATCTCCTACAGTACCGACAAGGTCCATTGTTCTAGAACACAGGGAACGCAGCAGAAAATACACAAAGAAACAAGTACTTTGGCCAAAATATACATGCCTGCACGCCATATTCAGAAATCTTCCAAATTACCCAAACTTGAAATACTTGTCTGTATATTAATATATCAGAAGAGAAAAGCACATTTTGATTATCACACCGATAAGAAGTGCAATGACAGATAATGAATATCGTAGAAATTGTCTGCCCACATCGGTATAAGGAAGAAATATTGAAACCTCACAGAAATGAAAAAGAAATCACTAATAATAAATAACTCCAACATTAAACAAAGTAAGAGCTGTTTACCCGAGTTAAATTATGAATGTTTTAGTGGGTTATGTTCAAACTAATAACTCCCCAGTGGGGCAATCAAGGGTCCACTAACGTGGGGCAGAGCTAGCTAAGGACGGTTAAACAAAGGTTTGGTCTAAAACCACCAGCAACTCTCAGAGACGTCATTTTGAAATCTCTGCACTAGTTACGATGAGTATAAAAAACCCAGATTGGGATTTAACACCTTCTTGGGTATACACATAGTTCTGTTTCTTGTCACATTACATCTCCAGCACATACGCAGGGATACACACATACGGAGATATTAACCAGGTGGCACACGACTAGTAGTTAGCGACTGATAAGGCGGCTCCTGCGAATTCCTAAAAATTGTATTGATTAATGTATATGCTAATTGTATTAATTTTATATCTATGTACTGTAAAGCGCTTTTGAGTGGCTTATGTTAGCTAGATAGGGCGCTATATCAAATGTTGTATATTATTATTATTATAAATTGATTATATTAAGAATTACTGGCCTAAATAAACCAATAACGTTCAGAGAAGATGTTTCAACTTCACCATACATAACACTAATTGTCTAATGAAATGCATTTTTAAAGAAAATGTGTATTTAGTTGGAAGCAGCGTAAATGTAAAAACTCATGTTCAAACAAACATTTATCGCCATAATGTCATTATCTGATAGTTTTGTATCTTAATAGAAATTTCCTATTCAAGAGATTAGTTAAAAATACTGTTTAAATTATTTACATTAGTTCTGACTATAACTGGCAATTGTAATGATGATTGTCCCATTTTCAATATCCGTCAATACACTGCATGAACAAATATCTGGCTTGTTTTCAGATAAATAACGCTAAGTAACATGCAATGTATATCTTTGTTGTCAAGGTTTAAAGTGTTGATTTAACATTTGAGTAAAACTGAAATACTATCGTATTATCTATTTTGTAAAGAAAATATAACATCTTGATCGGCTGTAATTATAACCCGAACAAAACATGGTGCATCGTTTCTATAAACGATGGTATGTGTTAGACTAAACAATTTGTTTTCTAAACAGTGAACTACCAACAGACGAAATATCAACGTAAGTTTGTGAGGGAGAGCGGGATTCAAGACACACACCGACCATCGGAAACAGACACCACATAATGTACAGCATGATGCTGCGTAAAGAAAACTCTCTTATAACAAGAAACAGGTGAGAGATAAAGGGGACAGACTCAAAGCATCCCATCGTGTTTAATGACATCCATAACAAAAGGTAAGACAGGACCTAATTCATGGCATATCACATTAATGCATGCCTGGATGTGTCAAGCATGCATCAGGGTTAAGGTAGAAATATCAGAATGATAAGATTAAGGAAAAAATCAAAACAATTATTATCACTTTTGTTAAAAATACATCATTTTCGAATCTAAGGTTGTCGGCAGTTCATTAATCTGTGTTATAATATTAATGAAAATAAATTTTAATAATAATATAATACCGGAACTTGATTAATTTTCATTCTGTTTCTGTGTCTATCTTTTTTTTTTTTTTTTTTTTATAAAAAATGCATTGTATGTTACAACCGACAGAAAGTTGAAAGACCAGCATGCAATGTTAGCATTCGTTCAAGGTCATTAGTGTTATCAGTTAGTGACTGGTTTTATCGTGAGGGACGGTCGTCTTTGATTCAAAAAGTGAAAAGATGTCAACAACATTGGGTAACGTGACGTTTCATTCGCAAGCCCTGAGCCTGATACGAACCTTCTGCTTTAATAAAACGAAACACAGAAAATAATTCAAAATACAACAATCACACAGTTAAATACACAGATATATTTGTTTACATATGCAATTTTTTTCCAATAGAAACTTATGATAAAAAAATAATTAACAACAGAATAGGAAATTAATTGTTACCAGTGTTGTTAATGGTTAAATACTGAATTTAGTGTATTTACATCTATCAGCAATGAATATATTTTATTGATGGAGAGTTAATTTTGTCGTCAGATTATTGTTTTTCCGTTATTGGCTAAAGCTAAATAACAACTTTTCATTTTTTCTCTTAATGTCCTTGTCTGTACAAGAAAACTAGAAAATATTGTTTACCTGATTCACTTAAGTAGACATATGTCACTTATGTAGCGGGAAAAATTCAGTGATAAAAAAACCGCGTTCTTTATTGGTTAACGAGAATATTTTAATAAAACAATACTTCAAAAATTGAATATTCAATCAAATTACGGTTGCGTTGTTTTAAAAATGTTAAAATTTCAATGATTGAATGTCCCCTTCTAATATCCTCAACAATAAAAAAAGTTTCTTATTCAAATAAGGTAAGGAGGTGTATAATAATTTATTAATGTTTTGCATTATTCAAAGTATTATTTCACAGAGAATAAGAAAGTTTTTATAGTTGTGTGATGAAAATCTTAACCATAGCCTAACATAGCATTTCTGGGAGGAAACTGAACAAAAGTACGAAACAATAGCGAGTCTCCATATAACCGCATACTTACTGTGGTCTTTGCTAATAGTCGTTTCCGGTTCCACTCCCATACTGTGAGCACGTGCTTTTCACTGCTTTCTACTGCGCATAACAGGACGCCATCACGCTAACAATACAACCATATAAAACATTATTTAGGGTAATAATATAAGCAGTCAGTGCAGCCATACCTTATGGTTAAATGGGTTAATATGATATACTGATAATACAAGTTTACGGTATAATACAAATCCTGCAATACAAATATACAATTAAACGAACTAATAAGAATTGATAAAACTTGATAAATTATGAAATGACATAATGGAAAGATTCAAAATATTGAATGCATTCTTCAAACGTATGTCAGTCTGTGTGTTTTATATAGTATTTTCTTGGAACGTTCCAAGGGAAACTATGAGTATATATATATTAATTTCAAGGTTATCTTTATCTCTAAATTCATGTTTCAGACGAACTTCCGTATTTAATTGGCTTCAATGAATTTGGATTTTAAGAAATTTTAAACCACATTTTGAGAACCTTAAGTAGCAATACGTGTCAAAATTATCATCTATATAATGGGTTCCCCTACCCTGTATTACACCGTTCCTCAAGCTAAACTTTAACATATATCCATCCATATTTTATACCACCACTTCTAGTGCCTACTTTCCTTAAATCTGTTTTTCAAATTGTATAGCATCATTTCTGATGTTGACCTTAAATCACCAGGTTTAACCAGGTGTAAAAGAATAATTCAATATGCTAAGCTGAAATCATGCAAAAAGCAAATATGAGGTAAACCGTGACTTATCTTAAGAAAACAATGTAAGCAAAACTGATCACATTATATTTCAACACGTGATTTGACTCAAACATTGTATTATCAAATAAACTAAAATGTCGTCTTTATGTAACAGGTCTACTTACATAAACGGAAAAGTTGACTGCGGATACACCGCACGAGAATATTCCAACACCCAGTATGACCTGTGTGCTGAGAGTCCGTCCGTCCCAAATACGGATATGTGCCTGGAGGGGAGAGTACAATACATATTGAGACGTTGTGTGTCATCCATGTTATAGGCGTGTACAAAAATCTCAAGATTAAACTTTTATTCCATTATAATTACGGAAATTGAAAGGTCTGTTTAAACTGTCAATATAGTCCTAGTTATATATTAATTTCGTTTGCCTACCAATTTCTAACCAAAAAATAACATGGAAAGAAAAATAAGTTTTCCAATATTTTGTATGTGATGTTCATATTATATTACCACTCTAAAAGTACACTGGAGTAACGCATTAATCCTGAAACGTAAAGTATAATATACATGCAGTACTAGTTAGATTTGACTAGGATAATCAATAGATCGAATAAGACCCTTACCACGTCTTCAGGTCCCGACCCTGCCTTCTGTCCTGTCGCTATCCATCGTCCTTCTGGGTGTATGGCCATACTACAAGTGTAAATCCACCATAAGTAAAGTATTAGCCCAAAGGTTCCCTGGTGTTAATATGAACGCATTGTATGATCCTTCACATTCTCACTTAATGACTTTAAGAGGTGTACTATGCAAAGTCCATATAGACATAGTCGATAAGGAGAACTGAAATAGATTTTCTTCTCGACTTCTTATATTTCAAAACTCCGGTTTATCCATTATCTTTACTCTATTGCTATCATTTTCACCATGTCGTTCTTGAATCTAACGACAAAGCAAAGCGTATCCAGTCTACAAACTAGTAAACTACGTGATTCCCTCCGTTGGCACCAGTAATACTCACTATATGATTCTCTCCGTTGGCACCAGGAATACTCACTATGTGATTTCCTCCGTCGGTACCAGGAATACTCACTATGTGATTTCCTCCGAGTGCATTAGGTGTACTCACTATGTGATTCCATTCGTTGGCACCAGGAATACTCACTATGTGATTCCATTCGTTGGCACCAGGAATACTCACTACTAACTATGTGATTCCCTTCGTTGGCACCAGGAATACTCACTATGTGATTCCCTTCGTCGGTACCAGGAATACTCACTATGTGATTCCATTCGTTGGCACCAGGAATACTCACTATGTGATTCCATTCTTTGGCACCAGGAATACTCACTATGTGATTCCCTTCGTTGGCACCAAGAATACTCACTACTAACTATGTGATTCCCTTCGTTGGCACCAGGAATACTCACTATGTAATTTTCTCCGCTGGCACCAGGAATACTCACTATGTGATTCCTTTCGTTGGCACCAGGGATACTCTCTATGTGATTCCATCCGTTGGCACGAGGAATACTCACTATATGATTCCCTCCGTTGGCACCAGGAATACTCACTATGTGATTCCCTCCGTTGGCACCAGGAATACTCACTATGTGATTCCCTCCGTTGGTACCAGGAATACTCACTATGTGATTTCCTCCGTTGGTACCAGGAATACTCACTATGCGATTCCCTTCGTTGGCACCAGGAATACTCACTATGTGATTCCCTTCGTTGGCACCAGGAATCCTTACCATGTTATTTCCCCTGTATGTGCTAGGTATATTTACCATGTGATTTCCTCTGTATGAGCTAGGTATACTTCCCATGTTATTTCCTCTGTATGAACTAGGTTTACTTACCATGTTATTTCCTCTGTATGAGCTAGGTATACTTACCATGTGATTTCCTCTGTATGAGCTAGGTATACTTACTACATGTATGTTATGTCCTGTGTGTGCTAGGTATACTTACCATGTGATTTCCTTTGTATGAGCTAGATATACTTCCAATGTTATTTCCTCTGTATGAACTAGGTATACTTACCATGTTATTTCCTCTGTATGAGCTAGATATACTTAACATGTTATTTCCTCTGTGTGCGCTATGTAAGCTCACCATGTTATTTCCCCTGTATGAGTAGGTATACTACCATGTTATTTCCTCTTTATGAGCTAGATATACTTACCATGTTATTTCCTCTGTAATAGCTAGATATACTTACCTTGTTATTTCCTCTGTATGAGCTAGATATACTTACCTTGTTATTTCCTCAGTATGAGCTAGGTATACTTACCATATGATTCCCTCTGTATGAGCTAGGTATGATATACTTCCAATGTTATTTCCTCTGTATGAACTAGATATACTTACCTTGTTATTTCCTCTGTATGAGCTAGGTATACTTACCATGTTATTTCCTCTGTAAGAGCTAGATATACTTACCTTGTTATTTCCTCTGTATGAGCTAGGTATACTTACCATGTGATTCCCTCTGTATGAGCTAGGTATACTACCATGTTATTTCCTCTGTATGAGCTAGATATACTAACCATGTTATTTCCTCTGTATGTGCTAGATATACTTACCATGTTATTTCCTCTGTATGAGCTAGATATACTTACCTTGTTATTTCCTCTGTATGAGCTAGGTATACTTACCATGTTATTTCCTCTGTATGAGCTAGGTATACTACCATGTGATTCCCTCTGTATGAGCTAGGTATTCTACCATGTTATTTCCTCTGTATGAGCTAGGTAGACTACCATGTTATTTCCTCTGTGTATGCTAGCTATACTACCATGTTATTTCCTCTGGTAGAACTAGGTATACCAACCATGTTATTTCCTCTGTGTGCGCTATGTAAACTCACCATGTTATTTCCTCTGTATGAGTAGGTATACTACCATGTTATTTCCTCTGTATGAGCTAGATATACCTACCATGTTATTTCCTCTGTGTGCGCTATGTAAACTCACCATGTTATTTCCTCTGTATGAGATAGGTATACTACCATGTTATTTCCTCTGTATGAGCTAGATATACTTACCTTGTTATTTCCTCTGTATGAGCTAGGTATACTTAACATGTGATTCCCTCTGTATGAGCTAGGTATACTTCCCATGTGATTCCCTCTGTATGAGCCAGGTATACTTACCATGTGAATCCCTCTGTATGAGCTAGGTTTACTTATCATGTGATTCCCTCTGTATGAGCTAGGTATACTTCCCATGTGATTCCCTCTGTATGAGCCAGGTATACTTACCATGTGAATCCCTCTGTATGATCTAGGTATACTTATCATGTGATTCCCTCTGTATGAGCTAGGTATAATACCATGTTATTTCCTCTGTATGAGCTAGGTATATTACCATGTTATTTCCTCTGTATGAGCTAGGTATCCTACCATGTTATTTCCTCTGTATGAGCTAGGTAGACTACCATGTTATTTCCTCTGTGTATGCTAGCTATACTACCATGTTATTTCCTCTGGTAGAACTAGGTATACCAACCATGTTATTTCCTCTGTATGAGATAGGTATACTACCATGTTATTTCCTCTGTATGAGCTAGGTAGACTACCATGTTATTTCCTCTGTGTATGCTAGCTATACTACCATGTTATTTCCTCTGGTAGAACTAGGTATACCAACCATGTTATTTCCTCTGTATGAGCTAGGTATACTTACCATGTGATTCCCTCTGTATGAGCTAGGTATACTTACCATGTGAATCCCTCTGTATGAGCTAGGTATACTTATCATGTGATTCCCTCTGTATGAGCTAGGAATACTTACCATGTGAATCCCTCTGTATGAGCTAGGTATACTTATCATGTGATTCCCTATGTTATTTCCTCTGTATGAGCTAGGTATACTACCATATTATTTCCTCTGTATAAGCTAGGTATACTACCATGTTATTTCCTCTGTTAGAACTAGGTATACCAACCATGTTATTTCCTCTGTGTGCGCTATGTAAACTCACCATGTGATTTCCTCTGTATGTGCTAGGTAGAAGCGCTGGTGATCGAATGTTCTATTGTAGAAGACTACCGCTGCGTCCATGTAGCATACGAGCTCGCCGGTTCTGTGGTAAAGCATCAGGCTCGTGCTGTTGTCGTTAGAGCGGTACCCATATCTAAAGGCTTGTTAAGGGTGGTATGACTTAGAAATGACTGATTTATCTGTTTTTGTGTGTGTATGTCACAATTTCATCTATAATTTTTTAAGCTCTAAATCAAGAACAAAGGAAACCATAATAATAATAATAATAATTCGAGGTTCTTATATTCCGTCTTTTCGTATTGCAGAGTAATCTGCTCTTGTGAGCAGGGATTGATTGTTACGTCATTAGTTTGTGTTAGAAAATTACGTCGTTTTCTCAAAAATTCATGACGTTACTCTCACAAACAAATGGCGTAACAATCAATACCTGCTCACAAGATCAGATAACTCTGCAATACGAAAAGACGGAATATACCGCTTTATCACAACCTAGTTCGTAGGTCGTCTCAAAGCGGTTGAGACCCCTGAAAAAGTACAAGGTGAATATGACCAGGTGTTCCTGAAGGGACATCGACCACAACCGCCATGTTAATGTAGGTCAAATCCAAAGAAGTTCGTTTCATCATAATCGTGTTTAATGGGAACTCCGTTCTATTGCTCTATGTAATCAATAAACCAAAGATATCTAAGCAAAACAATTGTTTCAGAAATGAAGGTACATATTTTGATACATTATAATTACTCAAGACTTAAGTGAATGGGGTAAATTTTCTAGGATACAGCCATTCCAGTATGAGTTTCTCGTTGGGTCTGGAGCGATCATCTGGTGCAGGTTTCTCCGGCTGGAAATATTCTGTAAACATAATTATTTTACATAAATAAATGACTTATTGTTCAAAGCGAAACAAAACTTGGAAGAATTAGCATTCAATTTAGAGATGTGCTAACTTACAATTCTAACAAACAGGTATGCTCATAGATGTTACCAATGCAAAGGACAATGACAGGCAATGTGAATGTAAAATGCAATCAGTTGTTAATGGAAATGTCTACTGTTGTTGTTTAGCTGGTTTGTATAGTGAAACTGCTCATGTTAAGGACTTTGTTACACCGCAGGCAAAACAATAGAGAGTTTCATCGTAGTATTTTGTAATTGCAATTACCTCCCCTTAATTTCGTTTTAAATATAACTGTAGTGGGACTGGGGTTGACGAGGTAGCTGAATTGGCTAGACCAGCAATCTTGGTCTGGTCAATTTGCATTTTTTACACCAAGAATATTATGGTTGATTACATTTCTGTTTATTTTATCTTAATTTTTTTCCCCAGAAACGTCATATGTACAGTTTTTGACAGAGCTACGGGTACCCATAATACCTTTTCACAGATACATCTAGATTTGTAAACATTATTGGTAGGTGAATGTGTATAATACCAATGTTATTTACATATTCACTCCTCTATCATTACAGTTTAACATCAGAACTACCCATATTAAATATTTTTTCTACTTATGTTAACTTATATCATGTGTAGGTCACGTACATTTAAACTTGTACTGACCTTTATACTTCCCACGTATTCGAACTTTGACCCTTTTAGCACTGTCCTCGTCGTTATCCAGTGTGTTGTCGAATGATACCTCCTCAAGGGGGTTGTCCCATCCGTTACTCTCCTCAGTATCGAGGTATCCGCTCTGATCAATGTCAACACTGTAATCTTCGTACTCCTGCACATCTGTCAAAACAAAAATCAAAAGCCTCATTATGGCACTTGTAAAAAAACTGAAATGGTAACGTATTTGTTTTAGGAAAGCACGTGAATAATGTATGATGCAAGTCCCCCAATCCATCAAAATGAATTATTCTCTACTAGAACACATTGCTACAAAATAACTTCCATTACGATTCACCGGTGAAATACGGGAAACGGTAAAAATGATAGCTTTACTGCAGTGTAAAATACGGGGAATTATAAGTATGATAAAGTGACAGTTTGACTAACAATGTAATACAGTGTAATATCATTGTGATATGATGTACTAGTCACTGCAGTGTAATACGTGGAATTATAACTATGATAAAGTGACAGTTTGACTAACAATGTAATACAGAGTAATATCATTGTGATATAATGTACTAGTCACTGCAGTGTATTATGGGGAATTATAACTATGATAAAGTGACAGTTTGACTAACAACGTAATATCATTGTGATATAATGTACTAGTCACTGCAGTGTGATATGGGGAATTATAACTATGATAAAGTGACAGTTTGACCAACAACGTAATATCATTTTGATTCGATGTTCTAGTCACTGCAGTATAATATGGGGAATTATAACTATGATAAAGTGACAGTTTGACTAACAATGTAATATCATTGTGATATGATGTTCTAGTCACTGCAGTGTAATATGGGGTATTATAACTATGATAAAGTGATAGTTTGACTAACAATGTAATACAATGTAATATCATTGTGATATGATGCACTAGTCACTGCAGTGTAATATGGGGAATTATAACTATGATAAAGGGACAGTTTGACTAACAATGTAATACAGTGGTATATCATTGTGATATTATGTACTAGTCGCTGCAGTGTAATATGGGGAATTATAACTATGATAAAGTGACAGTTGGACTAACAATGTAATACAGTGTAATATCATTGAGATATGATGTTCTAGTCACTGCAGTGTAATATGGGGAATTATAACTATGATAAAGTGACAGTTTGACTAACAATGTAATACAGTGTAATATCATTGTAATATAATGCTCTAGTAACTGCAGTGTAATATGGGGAATTACAACTATGATAAAGTGACAGTTTGACTAACAATGTAATACAGTGTAATATCATTGTGATATAATGTTTTAGTCAATGCAGTGTATTATGGGGAATTATAACTATGATAAAGTGACAGTTTGACTAACAATGTAATATCATTGTGATATGATGTTCTAGTCACTGCAGTGTAATATGGGGAATTACAACTATGATAAAGTGACAGTTTGACTAACAATGTAATACAGTGTAATATCATTGTGATATAATGTTTTAGTCACTGCAGTGTATTATGGGGGTATTATAACTATGATAAAGTGACAGTCTGACTAACAATGTAATACAGTGTAATATCATTGTGATATAATGTTCTAGTCACTGCAGTGTAATATGGGGAATTATAACTATGATAAAGTGACAGTTTGACTAACAATGTAATACAGTGTAATATCATTGTGATATGATGTACTAGTAACTGCAGTGTATTATGGGGTATTACAACTATGATAAAGTGACAGTTTGACTAACAATGTAATACAATGTAATATCATTGTGATATGATGTTCTAGTCACTGCAGTGTAATATGGGGAAGTATAACTATGATAAAGTGACAGTTTGACTAACAATGTAATACAATGTAATATCATTGTGATATGATGTTCTAGTCACTGCAGCGTAATATGGGGAATTATAACTATGATAAAGTGACAGTTTGACTAACAACGTAATACAATGTAATATCATTGTGATATAATGTTCTAGTCACTGCAGTGTAATATGGGGTATCATAACCATTTTGAAAACATTACAGTCACTGTAGTGTAACACAGAGTTATATCCTCATGATGAAATGTTACAGTCACTGCAGTATACAACGGGGTATCATAATAACGATAAAATTGTAATACTGAAGTTCAGATATAGCAGATCTGATATATCTAAAGATAATTATGACGTGATACTACAAAGACAACATGTCTATGTGAGGTTTAACCAAATGTCCCCAAACAAGCTAATTTCTAGAATCCAAATTCAATGATCTGCTGTTTTAGGGAGCATATCAAAGATGTTTCTTATTCGTGAAAATTTTCGACTTTTCACGGGAAACAACTGACTTCCTTCTTTGTATCATCTTATCATATCATATTCGTGAGTATATATAAGAAAATCTAAAGCAAACCACTTAATATTCTCTGTGTAAAAGAAATTTGATGCAGCATGTTAGCAACTGGAGTTGCCTTCCTGCTCCTGATTCGTCCAGTCATCACACAAATTGTCAAAATTCTGCAGTCAAGCTAATGCATGCAAAGGGCACTTGAATCTGGAATCAGGTGTTTTATAAACAAAGTATCTGAGTTAAAACGAATTGTGTATGACGACTGTAACATGATATGAAGGACAGGTTTTATCCGCATACGGTTATTGTTGTGGAGAACTGAAATATTAATGTGACGAACCAGTTACGCGTCCATTTTCGATCGGGTAGAAAACATCTCCCACTCTTTTGTTTAAATTATTATCTGCGATATACGTCAATGTGGCTACCCGGACCAAAATTCCTCCCAGGGGATTTACTGGGGGCGATAACAAATATAATGGCATTACAATTGATACCGTCCCTATAAATATTTAACTCTTTATTCCTCATTGACTTCGAAACATACACAACGCGACATGTTACCTGTCACTCTGTAGTGACCTCTGGTTGGTTTCCACAAGTACTGATGATATACAAATAGTCCATGTATTTATCAAAATCAATGGAAATATTCCTATGATTTTTGAAAGATAAACATTGTTTTCGTTGGGCGTTTAAAACAGCAAAACAAGGACAACAGAAATTTATTTCCGTTCAATAGGAAAACCGGACGGAAACCTACCATTTGAATATGAACGTTTTATGGACTTTGCCCTTTTCTATTGACATTGATATTTACTAAGAATGGCAGCAGTTAGCTATTCAGCTATTATAAATCCATGGAGTTAAATGTATTTTAAACAAACAATTGTATTTGAACACCTGTCTCACTTGAATACCAATACACTAAGGGTAATATAAATGATCACTGTGTCATGAAATGATTCACTTGGTTGCAATTATATCTCGGCTTTACCTAGTTAATGAAAGGTATTCACAACTAATCGATACCCACCTGTTTAAGTAGTTCCCACTGAATACTATGGTTATATCTTATTAGTGTAGTACATACCGTCAAATAAAACAAACTAGTTGTAATTATATTTAGTGAAGTGTGTAGTAGTAAACAATACCAACTAATATTTGTTATTATACGTAGCAACGTAAATAGTATTATATTATCCATGGTAAGTATAGTAAATGTACAAATTATCGTTAATATAGTTAGTGTTTTAATTACAGATAGTGTAGTTCTCGCTATAAGGTTCACCAATTAGTATACGTAATAGTGTGCTTAGTACGTAACATACGACTTTACTTTCTGACTATACAAAAGCGTTTCGACAAAACAATATCACAATTTATAGTTATAGATTTTATAGCTAAGTATTTTAATTAAGGAAATACACTGTTTTAATTACACTTTATCATTAATTATACATTTCCTATCATCATTGACTGTTTTTAGATAGTGTTCATGTGAATACTCGTTACTATAAAGTCACCATAAAAAACCTGAAAAACTGTTTTTGTTTTGCTGTTTTAAAATATCTCACTGGCCTGTTGATAAATCTAACACGGCTGTGTTTTAACATAGCTAACCATAATCAAAGGATTTCTGCATTTTTTTCTGCCGACTCCCCCTACTGGCCACGGATTCGTTACTAGAATTGCTGCTGGGAGCGGTCCGTTTCTGACCTGAAGCTTCCGATGCGGGAGACAGCTCCTCGCCACAAATTATAAACTCGTCCACAGTCTTGTACTCTCGGAACAGCTGGGAGTATGACGTCACCTGTAAAAAGGAACAACATATAACGTCACTGAGAGAGGAAGCGTGTTTCCGGTTAAAATTTAAAAAGAATGTTCTATTAATATAGCATGTCCAATAATATGGTCAAATCCCACTCTACAAATATATTTGTGTGAATATGTGCTTTATACCAGAGGCCCAGAGGGCCTGTATCGCTCACCTGGATATCTAAGCAATTATGACAAAATATTCTCCAAATCAGATCCAAGTGATTATGCAGCATATATGTATTAAAATTTTCATGCCCAGAAACTTTATGTATGGTTATGGGGTGGGGTTCTCAACTGTTTCAAAGTTGTTACTCAAAAGTTGTGACCAGACCCCAGGATCAATTCTAATATCATGACTGCATTCGTCTCTTTTTGCCCATTATTTGTATTCATAGTTTTGGGGTGGGGATCTCGACTGTTTCTAAGTTATGACTCAGGGGTTAAGTCTGCAAGGGTGGGACAGACCCTGGGGTCAATTCTAATATCATGACTGCATTCCCGTCTTTATGACCAAAAATTGTATATATAGTTTTGGGTTTGGGATCTAAACCATTTCGAAGTTACATGTATAACCCAGGGATTAAGTCTCCAAGAGTGGCGCAGACCCAAAGGCCATCCTGGAAGCATATGCACATTCATCTCTTTATACTCAGCAATTGTATACATGGTTATAGGGTGGGGATCTCAACTGTTTTAAAGTTATGACCCAGGGACTATGTCTCCAAGGGTGGGGCTAGACCCTAGGGTCATCCTGGAAGCAAATGTGCAATATTCTCTTTATACTCAGCAATTGTATAAATGGTTATACAGTTGGGATCTCAACCATTTCCATGTAATACACTTTTTTTTTGACCCCACTCCTTATCCCGGGGGGTTCGCCCCACCATTTGTACAATTTGGAATCCCCACCACCTAAGGATGCTTCCAGTCCAATATGGTGGATATCCATCACTTAGTTCCAGAGAAGAAGTCGCTTAAAGCAACATAGCCAAATTGCCCCCTTTTGGCCCCGCCCCTCAGCACCCTGGAGGGTCAGCCCTACCATTTGTACAATTTTGAATCCCCATCACCTAAGGATGCTTCCAGTCCAATATGGTTGATTTCCATCACTTAGTTCCAGAGAAGAAGTCGCTAAAAGCAATATAGCCAAATTGCCCCTCTTTGGCCCCGCCCCTCGCCCAGCTGGGGTGTGGGGGGTGGGGGTCAGCCCCACCATTTGTTCAAGTTTGAATCCCCACCATCTAGGGATGCTTCCAGTCCAATATGGTTGATATCCATGACTTGGTTCCAGAGAAGAAGTCCCTTAAAGCAATATAGCCGAATTGACCGCTTTTGGCCCCGCCCCTCACCTATCTGGGGGGTCAGCCGCACCATTTGTATAAGATTGAATCCCCACTACCTAGAGATGCTTCCAGTCCAAATTGGTTGATATCCATCACTTCGTTCCAGAGAAGAAGTCGCTTAAAGCAATATAGCCAAATTGCCCCTCTTTGGCCCCGCCCCTCGCCCAGCTGGGGGGTGGGGGGTGGGGGTCAGCCCCTCCATTTGTTCAAGTTTGAATCCCCACCATCTAGGGATGCTTCCAGTCCAATATGGTTGATATCCATGACTTGGTTCCAGAGAAGAAGTCCCTTAAAGCAATATAGCCGAATTGACCGCTTTTGGCCCCGCCCCTCACCTATCTGGGGGGTCAGCCGCACCATTTGTATAAGATTGAATCCCCACTACCTAGAGATGCTTCCAGTCCAAATTGGTTGATATCCATCACTTCGTTCCAGAGAAGAAGTCGCTTAAAGCAATATAGCCAAATTGCCCCCTTTTGGCCCGCCCCTCAGCCCCCTGTGGGGTCAGCCCCACCATTTGTACAATTTTGAATCCCCGCCACCTAGGGATGCTTCCAGTCAAATTTAGTTAAATTCCAATTATTCGTTAGGAAGAAGTCGTTTAAAGCAACTGTTGACGTACAGACGACGGACGACGGACAGACGACGGACGGACGCCACAGTATTGCATAAGCTCACCTTGGTCCAGGTGAGCTAATAAATGAATCAGACAAAAATCTACATTTTGTAACGTTCAGAACTATATCAACAAGAGAATACTGATGTGTTAACCGAACCGTAATTCGAACTCGAAATTAGTTAACATAGGGGAAAAAAAACAAAAAACGGTAAGATATGCATGGAGACATCTGAAAAGCACCTGGTGAAACCAGGTATAATAAGGGCTTTGTTTTGTATGTGAGGAAATGATGTCCACGATTGACCTTATACAACAATTGACCTTATACAATAATTGATCTTATACAATAATTGACCTTATACAATACTTGATCTTATACAATAATTGACCTTCTACCACAACACGCTGTGTTATTCCACACTCAGTTATTGTATAAACACGCAAACTGTTAGATAAATATGAGTTATATACCACACGTGGTATATGACCTTCAAGAGTTTTGATTGGTCGAGAAGATGAACTTTGACCGGAACGACTTTTTCCACGCGCTTTTTGCCACATGCTGTTTTGTTTACGTCGTCTGCTGTCAACATCCGACAAATGTTGGTGACTTTGTGAGGTTTTGCAGAAAAGGGGGGTTATTAAGGCAATATTAACAGAAGTTGATACTTCAAGATTTGATCGTTAGTTTCAGGCAAAATTGCTACAGACGCTCGATATCGTTTCGACGTCACACCGTCGCGTGTCCAGGTCGTGAAACCAAAACAAGATCTGTCACAGTGTCGGAAAATATTTCGTTCCCCCAACGTCTCGTTATCGCTATTTGGACGGCCTGACTATGGCTGAACTTTCACAATAAACGTCAACCATAGAACCGTCACGAAGAAACGTAGGACTATGGTTTTGGACATTGACAGCGATACGTTCGTCTTCATTACTTGGCGGGAGGCAGACTTCGCATACGTGCATGTAGTCCGTGGTTAATTTATATAAATTAATGCAATACTACTACTTTCAATATTTAAAGTCGTTTATCTATTATATTTTGTCATGAAGCTGGTGCCGAAACATTAATTTTGACAATTATTTAATTTAAAAAAAAGAAGTAATTTTTGAATATTAAAGAGTGACTTTTTACATATGGATAATATCACTACGCCAGCCTTGTCAACAAACACATGTTTGTATGTTATTTCCGACTGATCATGAGACTGTGGTAGGAACAGATCACACGACTCGTGGTTGTTGAGTATGGTATTTATTTTACTCTCGTTAGTTAATTTTCAAAAGTTACAAAAAGACACTCGCTAAAACTCGTGTATTTTGTAACTTTTGAAAATTAACTAACTCGAGTGAAATAAATACCATACTCAACAACCACTCGTTGTGTAACCTCTATTTATACAATAATTGATCTTATACAATAATTGACCTTATACAATAATTGACCTTATACAATAATTGATCTTAAACAATAAATGACCTTATACAATAATTGATCTTAAACACATTTCCGTTTCTGGGATTTACAGGTTAAGTGTCTAGCAGAGCTGACGATTAAACGTTTTTTATAAGGATTCTCGTAAGTTTCGTAATCAAATATTACTGATATTCTTAAATATTTTAATACAGAAATATGGTTTGCTAGTTCTTCAAATTCCGACACACAAAACAATAACAAAAATGAGAAAGTATGAGTTTCCGTGCTTATCTTTTTGCGAGCAATGTAATACATAAGGACCAAGTTATTTAAGATTCTGTCTGTCCATATAGTTGAATTTGGTTTCGACACCGGGGTCACGATAGACTGACCTGTGTTTGGTTTCATTATAGATTTCAAGCTGATCTTTTTTTTAGGATGTTAAAAATAATCAACTCTTAAAATAAATAAAATTCTGAATGTTTTTGTTTGGCCTTTTGTCTGGCGTGGTTTTTAACAAAAATTAAACCGCACTTGAAGTTAAATTCCAATTGATAGTAGTAGTATCTCGCTGCTTTAGACCGTTCATAAAATTCTCTCGTAGCATTGCATTATTGATAATACTGAGATCGCCAGTTACAGTATGTCAAGCCGGGGTATGGTTGTATGGAAATTTGGAACAAGAACATGCTGAATGAGGAGTGAGTATAACGTCATTTAAATTCAGCTGTTGTCATTGATGCTTAAAACTTATAAATCTTCCACTAGCAACTCATTCAAGAGATATCCAACATTTCCATATTTTATTAATGAACTATTGACTTGAGAGTACGTTCACCATTACATTTACGCATTTCTCTCTTGTTTATTTACGTAGTGGTTCTCATGTTGATTTACGTAGCGTTAATTCTTCTTCAAGAACTCTCCTGAAAACATGAACTTTGTACTGTTTTTCTTAGGAAAGTTACTAATAGCTTGATTTGATCCGCCAATTATATCATCATATTTCACAAAATTTATTCATAAAACAATTTGTTTACGCGAAAATATTGGTACCACTTTGTACTTCTGATTCAGCATTCCTCTGGCGTTTGTTTGTGTTATCCGTTCAGAGTACACTCTATTGACTTCAGGCTAAACACGATTAGGTGTGAGCGGCTGTCCTTGTTGATGTTAAGCGAATGTATCACTCTGAATCCCAAAAGACAAGTTTTCATATAAAGTTGATAGCAACCAATAGGTGTCTACACGGTAAAAATTGGAATTCGTGACGAGGTTAATTAAACAATGAACCGCACCTGTCTCCAGGGATCAGCACTACTTCTTGCTTTCATTATTTGATGAGTGCATACTATCACACAGACATGAAAAACATAAGTGGAATAGCCTTGTCATTTATTCCAATCGCATCATCTGTCGTTCACTCTGATTATAATCAGTCTTCATCGTGTTCTGGTTTACCATCTTACTGAATAATTGATTGATGCTGTTATTGTTTACTCGGGGGTGATGGGGTTATATATCTTTTGTAATATGTACGTATAGGGGATATATAAAATCTGCCCTAAGGTGAAGCATTAGGTTTTGAAATCAAAGGTAGAAATTCCATATTCTAAAACCTACATAATAGTTTTACATTTCCTGTTAACCCGACAGTGCTTCATCTATACGAATGTTTCTTAAACTCGTTTCTTCCAAATCTCAAGAGATAGAATTCCATTAAGACCTTTAATTCTTAAGTCTTAATTATATTTGTTTATTTTTATTTTTATTTTTTTTCAATAGCCGGCCACACATTAATGTTATCACGATACACATGCGTTATCCTGGCACAAAGACAAAATTACTAATGCTTCCTCGTGACGTTTGGATATCGTTTAGCCTACGAGACCTTAGATTTAGCTAATTAAGTTGTACCGAAAAGCAGAAAAACTATAATTTCTAGAAACAAAAGAGTTCTCAAAGAATAACATAGATAGGGTGGAATACTTTATCCTGATGAGTTAAGAGTACTTAACCTTGATGGACTCTGCTAAATATGGTCATCTGTTGTAAAAAGCAAATCAACAGAAAAACCAAGTAGGGAAGGATCATTTTAATATTAAGGAAACATTTTTACCGAACGACAGGGCCATTTTATCTATCTATGGTAAACGGCAATACCTCACACTTCCGAAACGTATGTAGAGAACAGTAACGGGGGATGGTGCCTATGACACCATTGATACTATTTCACACTTTCACGGTTTACCTGAAACATTTTATACTTAAATAAATATTTTATATATTAATCTTTGAAGGACAAATTCCAGCTACAGCGTCACTTTCTATTAAAATGATTACTGTAAACACACTTGGATTAAGCACCTAGATGACTATTTTGTGGCTGTAGAAGACTAATTAAACATCTCACAGCACCATGCGGCAATCTCGTCCATTTAAGACTCATCAATAGTAAAATTCTGTCTAAAAGGTTTCGAAACACTTTAGACAATAAAACGTATTTTTAAAAGATCCTTTCCGATTTCTTAATGCCTCAAAACTTTGATCAAATTAACAATTACATTATTGTTAATATCTAAGTTTATTTTCAACACAATTATTGAAAATGTATTTTGCGAACTTTCGAAACCGTCTGTTTACTTCGTCATGCAAATAGTGCAAAAGACCTTGGTCTCGATCCTAAACCGCTGGAAGAAGGCATTTGTGTTGTCCATCCTCAACATCAAGTCTCTACTGCTTTGATCACTTGTGCCATATTGTATACATTCAGTAACCTGTTGTAAAACATATGTCGAAAACCCGGAAGACTTAGGAAAATAAGCTATCAACAAATAAAACATTCGGTGGTCAGTTTAATACGAACATGTTAAATTTCGACAGCAAAACCAGCGTCGCCAAGTGCAGTCGTCGGCTTGGTTCGGTTAGGCTTAAGTAGTACACTTGCATACTAAGTTCGGTGAACTTGAGGTCATACAGTCGTATTCTTGGTTCGGTTAATTTCAGGTCGAAGCATGCGTGAGTGCAGTACAATAACATGTGGAGTTCCATGCATAATAAACGACCTGGCTACAGACATTACTGAACAGGTGCTGTAAATAGTAACACGTACGCCGCAAACCAATGCAGGAGATTTTCTTATTTTACTGAATAAAGGCATTTTATTTCATATTTAACCCATCTATTAGTCGCAAGTCACTTTGATTTGGATTCATTTTTGATTGGTCTCATGCTCGTTGTACGTTTCCGATTGTGTCCATGTAAAGCTTCCCTAAGGTCATCTTTTGCCCTAGTTTTATCGACTTTAAGTTGGATTTACTTCGCTGCATTCCTCGCTGTATTTATTCTAATGAATTTGTATTAATTGAACTTCGGACCGATTAAATGTAAATGAGTTAAAGCGCAAATTAAAAGAAAAAAATAGTTTCTTTAACACAGCTATACCCATGAATTTCCCATCGACTTGAGAACTTTCTCTAGGACAGACTTGGTGGACATGTGGGTTCCTATGTACTTTGCTTAAACAGATCGGAAGAGAGTTTATTATACTGTCAACAGATAAAGATATAAACAATTCCCTCAATGATAACACTAATCAAACAAATGTTCACAACAGTTAACAAACAATAAACAATACTGTCAATAGATCCTGGCAAATATACCTTTATGTTGGCACCCTTAGACAAAATATTCCCAAACGTTAACATACAAAAAACAATACGGTGAACAGATAAAGGCAAATATACCTTTATGTTGGCACCCTTAGACAAAATATTCCCAAAAGTTAACATACAAAAAACAATACGGTGAACAGAAAAAGGCAAATATACCTTTATGTCAACACCCATAGACAAAATATTCCAAAAAAGTTAACATAAAAGAAACAATACGGTGAACAGATAAAGGTAAATATAAATTTATGTCAACACCCTTAGACAAAATGTTTTCAAGAGTTTACATACAAGAGCAAAACCACACTACAGCGTCACCAAAAACCATCAAATATACAACAGCATTAACACATAAGGTGAAAATACACCACAGGTAACACAGAGAAAAGAAAAGACAGACATCATGAGATTGAACCCTAACAAGTATCATGTGGAACCAGTCGAGATTGTTTCATTGTCACATCTATGAAATTATGTAGGTGTTTAATGATTTAATACTTAACGAATACATTCCTAAACAAGTTAGACATTGAAGATACACATCCTAAAATGTCTTCAACGTTTATAGAAGTCAAACAGGCAAGGCGTAATTGGTCTACAGGACGCATCTACACGGCGAATCCCTATTTTATAGCAAGCCTCGAATAAGCTGGGGATATTAGAAGGTTACTACTGACCAAGTGAAAGGGAACATTTGCGAGATTGATTTTGTCATTTTTGTCATAGAGTTGGGTAGTGATGTGGCCATGTTCTTTGTTGGTGTATTATAGATAAGAAGGTGAGGTAAAGGATTCTGTGTATACCTTGTATTGCGAGGTCTTGATTATCAATTGGGATAAAAGAAATTAAGTTCATCAATATCCAAGGCAAAAACACTGAATATATCTGAATGTCAAGCAAACACAGCGATCCTGCCATTGACAGTGGTTTATTTCGGATAACAACCAACAAAGGAGATATACTTACGAGTATTGGTCTACTAAATTATGATCATATAGATTTGACATTGTCTCATCTCTTGAAAATCTGTATCATAAATAAGACTGCTAACAGTGTAACAGTCGTAAGTATTTAGGTAGGGACTAAATATAAATAAAATACAAATGGAATCTTCTTTAAAGCTTTGACAGCTGGTAGTATTACATCATTATTTCTGACAGCAAAGACAGCACACTTGTTTTGACCGTGAAAATGTATACATCCTAGATATTCATATCAGTAAAATACATCAACAGATTTAACCATTTTAAAAAGGTTCAAATCCGGTAAAACCACTTTCGAGGAAAGTCTACGATGATGTCAGTTAATATTCATAGTGGATATCGATACTTCCGGGATCAAAACAATAAAAATAATTTAAACAAATATATATATATATATGGAGTGCAATGCTATTGTGATATGTCAAAGCAAATTCTAACACGATCAATAAAAACTGGAAACGACGTTAATCACATGTGGTGATGATTGAAATAAGTTTAATCCTGACAACGTAATGAGTCTAAGACCACTTAATTATGTGCATATGTTATGTCAACACAACACACAGAAGTAACGGTTGACTGGAAATATATAAATAATGGAGAACTCTAACGGGAAATCAATATGTGTTTATGTCGCTTTTATTGTAGTTAATGTGGCTGTGTAATACTGACAGACAACAGTGCGACTGTATTCGTGTCTAAAATATGTCTATTACGGTGCAGATAGAGTCCCAGGGATTGATGATACGTTAAACACAACCTCGTATTAAATCTGTAGTGAAGCGGAAAATGCAATAAGAGTTTCACGTGATTCATGGGAGGCCGAGTGTGAACATGGGCTATCGATTTTAGATCTTACTTAACGGAGGCTGTTAACAGCTTTATTCTAACGCTATTGTTTATATTTTTAATTACATTTGTAACTATTGATTAGATAAATGGATAAAATAACAATTGTAGATGCTTTAGCACTTATGACGATGGATGGGTAAGAAGTTTTTTTGAAGTCTTAAAGTGGATCCAATCCATTTTTCTCGCTTTAAAATTTACATTTCTAGTGTGAGAAACATGAACCAGTTCATGAAGAATAAACCATAAATAATCTAAGAATTAACATTGATGTTTTAAGTCATTGAGGTAACTACAAATAAGCTGGAGTCATTCGAAGAGCCGATTGTCAAGTTACGTCAGTTGAACGGAAGTCATCACTTGATATCCTTAATTTAACGGAAGTGAATTGAGGTTGAATACTACAACCATCTTTACATGATTATAACATTTGTATGAATACTGTTATCAAATTGACCTAGATACATATATGAATACTATTTATATAACCTTGCATAACCAGCGTGAAGTTGGTTACTTATTCAATGTTAGGCTGGACAAATCCTGGACTAGTTTGAAAAGTACCCATTAGGCATAACTTCACATTTCAGGCAATTCAAGAAGTTCTCCCGTTCAGAGTTCCAGGGAAAATCGTTAAAACTCTTCTGCCATTTTTTAGCCTGAAAAATCGTTAATGACCTTTGATATGCGTTCATGTCCTGCTAACCGAAATTATCAGTTTTGTATTTTGAAATACGGCGTAACAGGCCTAGTAATGACTTTAGAATTTGAAAATCAATCTAATCCAATGCTGATTTATCCCAACTTTCGATTGGTTAAATACTGATTGAGTAACAAGTTCACGCTGGTCCTTGTGCAACCTAAAATCAATTACTATTTTTTCCTATGTCACGTGACACTTACCCGGGTTTCCGGTTTCTTGTAAAGGTATAATGCAGTGGCGTTCATGTTGATCATATCACCCATATCACTAAGAATTTGGTCGAAAGACATTGGCGTTTCCGGATTTAGAATCACTTTCTCTTTCCGGACCCTGTTTTTGTTTTGTATGATAGTTATCACTCTGCGGTTCTTCGATGGCGAGTTCGCTGGTGCGTTTTGTTTCAACATCCCCAAATCGTGTTTGCGTATCTTGCCTGCGGACGGCCGTTTGGTGACCCAGTGTTTTTCCTTGGAGTAACCATAATGGATCCCGTTCACCTGTGCGTTTTTGTCCTTACACACGATGTAAGACCTGTTGTTCTCGAATTTGTCTAGATCGTCTATTAACTGACGATCTGGTATTGTGAATATGCATTTTACAGGCCAATGCGTTCCGATCTTCTGTGTTAGGTGTTCCTTGAGTTTGTCGATGTTCAGCCATTTTTTACCACTGACGGCTATTGTCAGTCCCTTATAGTTCCTGTCCCCGTTAATGTAAAAAGTCACAAGATTTGCCCTCACACCGTTCTCCTTCCGTTTCCCGGGTTGAATGGCGGGTACGGTTTTGACAGAACCTGTTCCGTTTTTCCGCTGTTCGTACCTGGCTGCGCCGCCTAACGTGAAAGGATGACCGCGGTAGGAGTCAGTGAAGGGGCGGGGGTCGGGCTGACCGTCAGCCTCCTCATCGCTGTAGGCGTATTGGATTTCACTCTGAAAAATAAGATATAAGATATAATTAGTCTGAACATACCTTGATGTCTCTCGAAACTAAAAATACGCATCACCCTACTGCTAAAGTGGAAATTCCGTGCTGTGTAAATGCTTCTGTTTTTCGAATTGAGAATGTTAGCGCGAGAATAGCCATATTCGAAGAATTACTTAAAGATTATATAGAACGTATATATTTAAGAACCATTGTCAACGAGAAAATTAGTCCAAAGACTAACAACGCGAACATTTCCACAAACAAAAACTTCTACTTTTACATCATTATCCTGGCCACATTCTGATTGTCACTCTGAAATACAAGTCAAGACGAGTTGATGATTATACCAAATAAAGTTTACAAAGATGTGTCTGATTTTGTGAATGGACTTAAAAAGAGTACAATACATTGTCGCTATAAGTATGCTGTAATGTTGGTATAAGACGATACAGATCCCATCAGCGTTAGATGTGCTATGCAAAGGTAATGTCGAAAATGTTACCTGAAAAAGGATTATAATGTCATGGAGAGGATTCCATCTAACCACAGAGGTTCAGCTTTGAAACATTTCGAACATTTTAATATATCTGTCATCAATGCATGGCTTTATAAATGATCCATTAGAGCCATTAACAGTTATTGGTACAATACCTCGGGGGAACCGACCGGCTGTATACACCATACCCTGCCGGTGTATATTAATTGTATATACAGAACCCTCCCTGTATTACCGTCCCTGGCCGACACAGCCGTATCAATGGGTTTGGTATTATCACAATATATGTATCTTCTTCATCATTTCGTTACATAACCTCGGTTTACTGTGTTCGTGACCGAGACAATGAATTGTGTACTATAATCACTCGGCTAAATCAATTGTGCAGATCTTAAATAAACATTAAACTGACTCCGGTTTGCCTTGAAGTTTTATTGTACAATAGCCCTAGGTAGGTTTACGTTATCTACACACGCACGTGCATAGTGTTGGTTTCACACCTTCACAGCAGTATTCACAGGTATGCTAAAAGACGTCTTCTTCATACATTTTGAGATGTTCTATGACATCAATATCATCTAATCACGCTGAATAGGACTCATCCATCTAAAAAGACCTTGTTCTTACGGCAAGCTTTAAAATAAGTTCGTTATGTAAAACTGCGGACAGAAAGCAAAGTGTCGTAAAATTTAAAACGTCACGATTGTATCCGTTCTGGTTATGCCATACTCGTTACTGTTATTGATTTTCTTATTGTTATACTCATGGTAAGACTGTTGTATGTGTGCGTAATAGGTCGTTGTTTATATAGACTCTGTTGTAGAGTTATGGATCAAACACAGGGAACCGTCAAGTAAAGCAATGCTTTGAAATTCATGATCTTATTCAACCCGATTTGGGTTAAATGCTTTATACCTTAAATCTATTCAGACATATTATTTACCTGCTCGAAGTCCCGTTTCTCAAATTATTTAGACTAGTCTAATAATCAATAAATATATTAAAAAAAAAAAATGTTAATGAAAGACATTTTTAATAGAAAAATATTATGGCGAGGTCATTGATAATGGCTAACCGATAGGACGAGTTACAGAACGAGAAATCAGAAGGGTCCTTCTCTGATGAGTTGTTGCACCGCCCTTTGCAATGCTTTCGGATATCTGAGGGAAATTGAGTGTTTGAATTGAACGAGATAGACCCATAGACAATCACCAAGAAAAACACTGTAGGTCTGTTTGAATCATTTACTTCACAGACCAAGATTTCTATGAAGGCTTTTTTATATTATGTATTGAATTCAAGGGTGATAATGTTATTGAGAGAAAAGGTCCTCCGTGAAATTACTTGTCTGCCTTTATTATAAACATAAAAGTAACATTTCATCGGTCAGAGTATGGTCTATTAACATTACAGCGGGTCTATAAGATATCTCTATCACATAGAACTATTCTCTATGGTGTGAAGATCTGAATTATACAACAGCCATTATTGGTGAACTCACATTGATACAACAGTCAATATTGGTGAACTCACTTTAATAAATTGATACAACAGTCATTATTGGTGAACTCACATTGATACAACAGGCATTATTAGTGAACTCACATTGATACAACAGTGAACTCACATTGATACAACAGTGAACTCACATTGATACAACAGTGAACTCACATTGATACAACAGTCATTCTTAGTGAACTCACATTGATACAACAGTCATTATAGGTTAACTCACATTGATACATTGATCTATTGATAAAACAGTCCTTACTGGTGAACTCGCATTGATACAACAGTCATTATTAGTGAACTCACATTGATACAACAGTCATTATTGGTTAACTCACATTGATACATTGATCTATTGATAAAACAGTCATTACTGGTGAACTCGCATTGATACAACAGTCATTATTGGTGAACTCGCATTCATACAACAGTCATTATTAGTGAGCTCACATTGATACAACAGTCATTACTGGTGAACTCTCATTGATACAACAGTCATTATAAGTGAACTCACACTGATACAACAGTCATTATTGGTTAACTCACATTGATACATTGATCTATTGATACAACAGTCATTACTGGTGAACTCTCATTGATACAACAGTCATTATTGGTGAACTCACATCGATACAACAGTCATTATTGGTGAACTCGCATTGATACAACAGTCATTATTAGTGAACTCAGATTGATACAACAGTCATTATTGGTGAACTCATATTGATACAACAGTCATTATAAGTGAACTCACACTGATACAACAGTCATTATTGGTGAAGTCACATTGATACCACAGTCATTATTGGTAAACTCACTTTGATACATTGATACAACAGTCATTATTAGTGAACTCACATTGATACAACAGTCATGACTGGTGAACTCGCATATACAGCAGTCATTATTAGTGAAGTCACATTGATACCACAGTCATTATTGGTAAACTCACTTTGATACATTGATACAACGGTCATTATTAGTGAACTTTAGTGAACTCACATTGATACAACAGTCACTATTGGTGAACTCACATTGATACATTGATCTATTGATACAACAGTCATGACTGGTGAACTCGCATATACAACAGTCATTATTAGTGAACTCAGATTGATACAACAGTCATTATTGGTGAACTCACATTGATAGAACAGTCATTATTGATGAACTCACATTGATACAACAGTCATTATTGGTGAATTAACATTGATTCAACAGTCATTATTGGTGAACTCACATTGATACAACAGTCATTATTAGTGAACTCACATTAATACCCCAGTCATTATTGGTGAACTCACATTGATACAACAGTCATTATTGGTGACCTCACATTGATACAACAGTCATTATTGGTGAACTCACATTGATACATTGATCTATTGATACAACAGTCATTACTGGCGAACTCGCATTGATACAACAGTCATTATTAGTGAACTCACATTGATACAACAGTCATTATTGGTGAACTCACATTGATACATTGATCTATTGATACAACAGTCATTATTGATGAACTCACATTGATACAACAGTCATTATAAGTGAACTCACATTGATACAACAGTCATTATTGGTGAACTCACATTGATACAACAGTCATTATTGGTGAACTCACATTGATACAACAGTCATTATAAGTGAACTCACATTAATACAACAGTCATTATTGGTGAACTCGCATTGATACAACAGTCATTATTGGTGAACTTACATTGATACAACAGTCATTATAAGTGAACTCACATTAATACAACAGTCATTATTGGTGAACTCACATTGATAGAACAGTCATTATTGGTGAACTCACATTGATACAACGGTCATTATTGGTGAACTCACATTGATACAACAGCCATTATTGGTGAACTCACATTGATACAACAGTCTTTATTGGTGAACTCACATTGATACAACAGTCATTATTGCTGAACTCACATTGATACAACAGTCATTATAAGTGAACGCACATTAATACAACAGTCATTATTGGTGAACTCGCATTGATACAACCGTCATTATTAGTGAACTCACATTGATACAACAGTCAATATTGGGGAACTCACATTGATACAACAGTCATTATTGGTGGACTCACATTGCCACAGCAGTCATTATTGGTGAACTCACATTGATACAACCAGTCATTATTGGTGAACTCACATTGATACATTGATCTATTGATACAACAGTCATTACTGGTGAACTCGCATTGATACAACAGTCATTATTAGTGAACTCACATTGATACAACAGTCAATATTGGGGAACTCACATTGATACAACAGTCATTATTGGTGGACTCACATTGCCACAGCAGTCATTATTGGTGAACTCACATTGATAAAACAGTCATTATTGGTGAACTCACATTGATACATCAGTCATTATAAGTGAACTCACATTAATACAACAGTCATTATTGGTGAACTCACATTGATGCAACAGTCATTATTGGTGAACTCACATTGATACATCAGTCATTATAAGTGAACTCACATTAATACAACAGTCATTATTGGTGAACTCACATTGATAAAACAGTCATTATTGGTGAACTCACATTGATACAGCAGTCATTATTGGTGAACTCACATTGATACAACAGCCATTATTGGTGAACTCACATTGATACAACAGTCATTATTGGTGAACTCACATTGCCACAGCAGTCATTATTGGTGAACTCACATTGATACAACAGTCATTATTGGTGAACTCACATTGCTACAGCAGTCATTATTGGTGAACTCACATTGATACCACAGTCATTATTAGTGAACTCTCACTGATACAACAGTCATTATTGGTGAACTCACATTGATACATTGATCTATTGATACAACAGTCATTATTGGTGAACTCACATTGATACCACAGTCATTATTGGTAAACTTACTTTGATACATTGATACAACAGTCATTATTGGCGAACTCACATTGATACAACAGTCATTATTGATGAACCCACATTGATACAACAGTCATTATTAG